AAGAAATTAAATGACAAATGAGACTAAAACTTTAAAATTTATATAAAAATAGAATGACCTGTGTCAAGGTCGCTTTGCAAAATCGGCAATGACATTTGCCCCTAATACACCATTAATAGGGCTGCTTCTAAACGTTCTAAGATATTATTAAAACAAAACAACCCAAGGTTTTTTCGATGACCCTAATACGAATGAAATTGCTGTTGAGTCATTAAGAAAATAATATCATGAAATGTAATAATGTAAGGTTTAAAATCTCATTTCTAGATTTATAATCGATTTAGGTTTTCTTTTTAGACCTTATATGGTATAATTATATATAATAATTCCTATGAATTTATTTTGAAGATGCATTGTTTGAAATGTGTAGTGTACATATATGTATATGTATATATATATTTTGTATCTAAAGATGACTCCACCTCGATATTTATATCATTGGCAGCGACTGAAAACTAGAACAATCATTACGTCACGTCTTGAGAGGGAAGTATAGAGAAGTTTTTGTTTGAAAATGTTTGTAAGACCTAAAAAACTGTTTCAATTTATATCTGATCATTATTTTCATCATCACTTAGAAATTATATTATAAAATCAATGCAAATTATTCTCAACAAAGCATAAATTAATATTAGGGGGACCGGAAAGTAATGTCGTTTCTGCGCATGCCAATACTTGATTGCCATTTCTCAGCTCATTGTTTGGTTCAGAGGCGTACCAAAGACATTGTGAGGTATAGTGATTTCTTTACTTATAGACAATTGAATTACAATGTTTTTTTTGTAATTTTGGGTAAAATGGCCAGCCAAATACCAGAAGAGGTACACATCCGGCATTGCATGCTCTTTGAGTTTCGCAAGGGAAATAACGCAACAGTTGCTACCAAAAACATTTGCGATGTTTATTCAAATGCACTGGACATTCGTAAATGCCAAAGGTGGTTTTCCAAGTTCAAATCGGGTAATTTTGATCTTTCCGACTCGTATCGATCAGGAAGACCATCAGCGTTAGACAACGACGTGTTAAGGGCGCAAGTTGAAGCATATCCGTGTCAAACGATCGAGGAATTGTCAAACAGTCTCAACAAACCTTGGTCGACCATCCAAGAACATTTGAAGCAGATTGGGAAAGTAAGCAAGCAGGTGTTTGGGTCCGCATAATCTGTCCGAACAGAATAAGGCTAACCGATCAATCACATGCAACTTATTGCTTCAACGACACAACACAGAAGCGTTTTTTGATCGCTTGATCACAGGAGATGAGAAATGGGTCCTGTATGATAACCCAAAACGCAAAAGGCAGTGGCTCTCTCCAAATGAAATCCCTCGGAGTACTGCTAAGCCAGGTTTACACCCCAAAAAAGCGCTTTTGTGTGTTTGGTGGAGTATTCGCGGCATTGTTCATTTTGAATTAGTGAAACCTGGACAAACTGTTACTGCAGACCTCTACAGCGAACAATTGCAGCGAGTCAATCAATCTTTAATTGAAAAGTGGCCAGCGATTGTCAACCGAAAAGGCGTCATTCTCCAGCATGACAACGCAAGACCGCACTGCGCAAGGCGAACTCTAGAAAAAATTAATGAATTGGGGTAGGAGGTGCTGCCTCATCCACCATATTCGCCCGATGTTGCACCGTCGGATTTCCACTTATTCCGAGCGCTGCAACACTTTTTAAGTGGCAAAACATTTGGAAATTTGGATGATATCCAAAATGCCATCTCTAGATATTTTGCCGAAAAACCAATTAATTTTTATCGATCAGGGATTGAAAATTTACTCACTAGATGGCAAAAGGTTATTGACAATGATGGGGAATACATCATTGATTAAAAATAAAGACTCGTTAAAAATGTATGTGTTTGTATTTAGCGTAAGAAAACGACATTACTTTCCGGTCCCCCCTAATATTTAAAATCTAAAGAACCCAAAGAGGTTGATATATGGATCATAGAATAAATATTTGGCAATAATTTTGCGTATGTCATCTATATATATATTTTATTTAGATGAAATGTCATTATGTGTGCCGTCAATACATTTGGCACATGACGATGTCGTTGACCTATAATATTTACTTTCACAGGCGTCGCGTGTTACCTACAACGTTCTAGATTTTACTGATTTCATGTAATAACAACTCATTATAAAAACTGTTCATGTATTTTATGCATTTTTAAGTCATCTTTCTTACAATAAATTATTCATGGCTATTAATGTGGACATTATATTGTTATAAATTTGACAAGTAGATAGTCTGTCAATGTCATTATAATAGATGAGCCTTTCGACAGATAAGAAATACAAATTATTGAATGTTTTTAGAAACTAAGCAATTAAAATTTAAATCTTAGAAAGCATAGACACAACGGTGTTCACAATCGTCAAATTTTCCCACAAGTAATTATTTTCTTGAGCTATACTCTAAAAGAGAAATTTATCTTTGGTACTATAATCCTCAACGATTTTTGCAACATTTGTAGCAATTTTATTTCTCATCTTACAAACATGAACTAAAATATAACTTTAAGAAATGATTCCGTTAATTTAAAATTTTCGTAACTAGTAACATTGTTGTAAAGAAGTCACATTTAAGATAAGAGAGTGGATATAACTTTCTCAGAAGATGTTAGTTTTATAACAAGTACATAAATCTTTCGGACACCGTAGAGATCGTATCTATATACCCATTTCTATATATTGGTATCTTAACATTTATGTATATATTTTTGAAGTAAAACACTAAATATATGTATATGTCAAAAGCAACATTATTTTACTCTCCAGAGTTATTAAAAGAGTTGTAATAATAAATTATATGTTTGAAGTTTGGAACAAAAACAAAAAAAATATTAATGCGAAACCATAAGTACGAATTCTGTAGTATTAATTTTAAATAAAATTTATTTTATTTTTCTGACAGTACAAATTTTTCTGTAGTGTTCCAGAAAAATTGAGTATCGAATATTAACTGCGGACTGCGGTCGAACCTTGACCAGAATGCTTACCACAAGTTTGTGTTACAACAAACATAAGCGTTTTTATATCATGTATATATTTTTAATGTTCTTTAACTTCTGTGCACACCCTACTTACTTCTATCCTACACTTTCTGGGTTGGCTGGCAGAAAATGCTGTAATAGCGTTAAGTCCGCCCTTTGTACACCTCTGTTTGTGCAATAAAGAATAATAAAAAAAAAAAAAAAAAAAAAGCGTTTACTGTTTCTCGTTCACAATTCTTCCCGCGATAAAGTTGTGTATTAGGTTAATTAATGACAAACGGAAAATTCTTTCTATTTAGTATTATAAGACAAACTTGGGGTAAGGATAGTAAATGACGTACATAAATTTCACTCATTGACGTTAATGAGATTTTTATGGGATAAATACAATAGTGGAAAATAAACTTTACTTTTATATACAATTCATACTTTTTAAATAGTTTACTATGATAGTATTAGGTAGGAAAAATCTAATTAATAAGTACTGTCATCAATGATAATATCTTTGATTTGAAATTTTAATGTATTCATTTGAAAATGTGTTTTAAAATATTTTTATCAACTACATACAAATGTATTAAAATATTTCTAACTTAATGGTCTTATTTCTATTTAATATACAAACCAATGAAAATTATTTAAAATTACGTTTCGAAATAAAAAGATATACGTCAATTAATCATTTATGTTCAATGTTGATCATATATCATAATATTATAAAATTTCTAAATCCTAATACGTTTTTATTACTATCCAACTCTGACTCGCGTGCAACGATAATTTTTAAAACATGGTTATTACGTAATATTAAATAACCTTTTATGAAGTCCGATATATATAAGTGAAAGGTATGGTCAGTTGTTGGTCAAGGCATTCCGCAGACTCTATCGTTTTGCCTCCAAACACTGCTTAATTATTAAATTAATTATAATATTTTAATTATTCACGAAGATTCGTTTATTGTTTTAAATATTTATATCGCTAGTATTAGAAATAACAGATAATATATTCTTTTAGCCTCTATGTTGTACAAAATGTTGTTCTTTCCTTTTAAAATATATTAGTCACATTGTATTTGTTCCGGTTGTCGTTCAAGTTAAAAGAATTTTGCAAATGTGTTCAAATATTTATCAGTCTCCTTATTTTACTAAGAATATGCCGTATTTTAATAACAATTTCGAATTCGTCAACACCTTTGTGTTTTAAATATAACCTTAAGTAAAGTAACTCAATACAAATACGTAGTCTTTCGATCTGTATGACGATTTTTAATAAAATAATCGAAACATCCAATTTTTTATAAAAAAAAGTGATTTGTTTCAGAACAAATTAAATAGTTTAATTATTGTTACATTACTTAAGAGACTTTTTTTAAGTTACTTAAATAATAATTTTTATAAAACAGCCTTAAAAACCAGAACATTCTAGGAATAATGCATAAGTAAACAAGTTTTGGTATTACGAAATTAGATCACGCATCATGAATATAACATTGGATGTTGTTTACAAACAAAATTTATAAAACGTTCTTTTTTCGAATTCCAAATTCTTTTTTTTTGAAACAAACGATTCTAAAACAAATATTTCGATGAAATATGCCTCGTTTCTTTTTATGCTACTTTTTAATTGTTTCATTTCATTTGGAAGTGATGCCAAACGGAATGTAACTCGGTTGACTTGTCATAAGAAAATAAATGATCAGTAATTTTAAATGAATAAGTTATTAGTTACTATTACAATGAAGTTATTAAACACTTTATTGGCATTAACTGATAATTTAATTGGGCTTTTATTCATCATGCAATGTTATTAGGTATATTAATTTAAGGAGTTACTAAACGTCATGAAATTTTTCATAGAAATTAATCAATTCTATAAAGTTGTATACATAAAAATAATTACATATAATTATAAAATCAAAATAATTCAATAAAATGATTTCTTAATATTAATTAGTGATTCTAATACTCTTGTTTTTAATTTCCAATGCCTTTCTTACAGATGGGTTGCAAGCTAACATTTGTCGATGACATCTTAAACCGGTCATTTTATAAGCTTGGTCTGGTCGTCGGCAAGCAGCCGGGATACTTCATCATTATACCAGTTCTCCTAACTTTACTCATGGTCACTGGCTATCAGCGGGTGCACTATGAAATGGACCCAGAATACCTTTTCTCACCGGTCAGCGGTCAAGGGAAATTGGAAAGACGTATCGTTGAAGAACATTTCAAAGTAAATTACTCGCACAGATTCAATGTAGGGAGAGTAACACGAGCAGGTAAGATCAATCGTGGTTTCGGCCATATACAATAAAAAAAAATGTAAATATTTTTGCTTATCAAATTTCGAATTTTTTGTGATTTCATATTATATAAAATCATTTAATTTGTTGCCATTACACGTAACAAAAAGTTTAGTGTAGCTCATTTTATGTCTATTTTTCAATTTTATTTCCAAAAAATAATGAATAGGAGTCTCCTTTTTAGTACTATAACAGATTTATATAAGCATTTTGGAAAAAATCTTTGTAATCCAAATGATACATATATGTATATATGATTATACAATATACATAATTATCAGTGGCGTGCACACCATAGATGTCCGTTAATTGTCAAACGAAACGGGACTCTCTGATTGGTCGGTAAACTGTTCATATATTTTTTTCGCCATTTTATTGTTATTGAATATTGTCAAATGTCATTTGTCTTTCTAAGCGCAAGTGAATAAGTTTTAAATAGTAAACAGTGAACTAATTTATAAACGAATTATGGAAAATTATAGCTGTGAGCTCTGTGCTTGTGATGTGTGTTTATCGTAATTAAATACGAGTAGATGTTCAATATTGTCGTTTGATAATAAAATTAAAATAAGTGTAAAGGGAAGGTGTGTGACCAGTTGAGATTGAACTAAAAGAAAGGTAATGTTATTCGTTTTAATAAAAAGTATTATGATTTTTCATCAGTTAGCAGGTTGTGTACACACTAAGAAGTTATTTTGTTTGCCTTGTTTGTTGTTTTCAAATGATAATAAGAAGAATGTTTGAATCTCCACTGGATATTTAAATTACTTTTATAAAGCTGTGATGAACAGATCGTAATCGTTTTAAAGTTCTTTCGTGGCTCAAAGGTAGTTGAGAGATTCCTAAAGTATATAGATGTTCGTTCTGATTGGACTGCAGTAACATTATGCGCGAATATTAGCAATATTTAAATGAAACTAATATTTTGATTACTTCGCGTATTTTAGTATGTTTAAAAACTACATATTCCCGAAGTTTTACTTTGCAGCAGCCGTGATCACGGCAGACATTGCGTCTGCCGGTTAAAATTTAAAAATAATATAAATTATGCGTAGTAATTCCAAAATATTAGTTTCATTTTAATGAATACTTGCGAAATATCTCATTATTACCAATGTTTTAGAAAGGAAATTATAAAAATTGGTATTTTTTTCATACATATTCTGCTTACCCTACCCCAAATCTGTGCACGCCACTGATAATTATCCAATAACGCACCAAAGAAAATAAGAATAATTACCTAAGATTTTTGAGGTTATATAAATGGATTGGATGAAAATGCCTTCATGTTCCCAAAATAATCGAAAATAATATATATATAGTTCATAAAACACACTGATATTTATATTGCAATGGACTTAAAGTTGGGGTGTCAAATTATATGCTTTAATTTTTGTGAACAGGTAGGTTCGGGCGAGTGATCATCGTTGCGAAAGACAATCAAACCAACCTGCTGCGGACAGAAGTATGGAAAGAATTAAGACAACTAGATGAATACGTTCAGAATATAACTGTGACATTGGAAGACGGTGAAACATTCACGTATAGAGAGGAATGCGCAAGATGGGAAGGACAATGCTTCACCAACGATATATTAAATTTGGATAAGATTATTGGAGAGGTAAGTAACCTCCCAAACCAGTTTACATAATACTAAGATGATGCGATAAATACGAAGAATTTTCCTTAAACATATTTAGCTTCGAGTGTAACTGTTAGTAGAATTAAAACATAATACGAAATATATTCCAGTCATGCGTTTATGTACAGGCGCAAGGAAAACCACTGAACAAAAAATTCTTGAAAATAAAATTGACACCAAATAAAAGTATGATTCAAAAGACATTGAACCTCAGTTTAGAAACAATAGCTTTACTCATCGACTTATATATTACGTGGTTTCTATATTGTATCTACATATAAATAGCCATATTTATGTACAAGAGATATTGTGATTAATAATATTCCCTTAAACAACATTTAAAATTTGATGTTAACATATGACTACGTAATATTTTCATAAGTTATTAAACGAAACGATAAAATGAACAAAATTTTCTTTACATGTGATTACTTTTGTTCAACGATTTCTTCATAGATTACCAAGAATCTATATCATTGCATATGTATTTTTATAAAGTAATTAATTAATATTTTTTTTATTATTCTCAGGTTGAGCGAGGCGAATTGAACTTGACGTTTCCGATAATGTTCAATCCTGTCACGTGGGAGGCTCACGCTTTCCCTGTTTTTTTCGGCGGTTCAACTGTGGTAGATGACACTATAGTATCGGTGCCCGCCGTTCAGCTTGTATGGTTCGTCAGAACAGACACTAAACTGCAGCAGCAACGGTAATTAATAATGCATCTTCAAGATACAAGAAGCAAACATTGCTTTATAAGACACTAGCTGCGCCTCGCGGTGTTACCCGCGGATTTCCGGGATGTCAAGTAGCCTATGTGTCATTCCTGGATGTCAGCTTCCTGTATACAAAATTTTATCAAAATCAGTTCATCCGTTTGAGCGTGAAGAAGTAACAAACATACACTCACACTCACAAACTTTCGCAATTATAATATTAGTAGGATTCTTACCTTGTCGTTATCGAACTTTTAACTGGGTAGAGTTCGGGTCTAAAGATTTCTATGAAATGCATGACACATCCACTAATACAGTAAAACCATTGAACCACATTATTGCTCACTAAAACACATTAAGGAAACTCGGATGTGTATTCATTGTGATAATATTTGAAAGGAAAAACATTCACGTTTCTTTTCTTTAACGTTAGTGATTACGGTCATTCTGTTACATTTCGATTTTTATGACTTGTTTTCAATTTCAATAGCACGGTACTTAGTAAACAAGTAACAGTATATCTTAGATAATGGCGACCGATCTTGACATGGTTTTCAAAACAGTTTCGAATACAAACGCCGTGTTGGACGAGAATACGAATAGGAAGGTATTGTGATTGATAGAAATGATTTGTAAGTTACGATTGCAGGAGTCACTGTTTAGTACGCAAGGATTGTTCAATCTGGTGTAATTTTTTTTGCAGCTTAGAAAGGCCGATTTAAATTAAAGAAAAAACATTTATAATATGGGTTTGAAGTTTTTTGTTTTTTTTTGCAGAGGTGCAGCTTGGGAAGATGCGTTTCTGGATGCTGTCGGTGTAGCAGAAGACACGGGACGATTTAAACATATTTCGATAGCGCGATTCGCGTCACGAACACTAGATCATGAACTTGAGAAGAACACGAGAACTGTCATACCATTTTTCAGCTCCACATTTATCCTTATGGGGATATTTTCAGTAGTGACCTGTATGATGGGAGACTGGGTCAGATCCAAACCCTGGCTCGGTTTACTTGGAAATATATCAGCTGTAATGGCAACGATTGCTGCTTTCGGTTGTGCGATTTATTTAGGCATTTCTTTCATCGGTATCAATCTTGCCGCGCCGTTCTTAATGATTGGTAAGTCAATAATATATGTACTTAAATTATTTTTAATTTTTTTTTAACCTCATTCATTAATCATTTCTGACAGTGTTTGTGAAATCTTAACGTATAATTACAAGAAGAAACTTTTAAAAGGTGCATTATGTAACAATATTAAATTGTGGTACCTATATCATAACGACTTATCTTAAAGAGTAGATACAGCTAAAATTTTGCACACTACTTTTATACATATGTTGTCAGTTACAAGAAAAATAGTTATTTAAAATAATGATAGAATATATTTATAATGAAGTTTTCTTTTGCTAAAGAGGTATGTTTATGTTATAGGAATAGGTATTGACGATACATTCGTGATGTTGGCTGCCTGGCGCCGCACGTCCCCTCGTCTGCCGGTCCCTGAGCGGATGGCCATCATGCTGTCAGAAGCTGCTGTCTCCATCACTATAACTTCGGTCACTGATATGCTGTCATTCTTCATAGGCATCTTCTCACCATTCCCATCGGTTCAAATATTTTGCATGTATTCAGGTAATTGTTATTTTAATTATGGCCTTCGTTTTCATATATCTAACTTAAATAGATTTCCTCCTAATATTGTGAAGCAAATGTATTTTTTTAAGAAATATTCTTCCTAACTTCCAGTCTTTCGAAATTAACTTAAGTTACTAGTTTATTTAAGTAAGAGTATAGTCCAATTTGTTACCTTAGAATAAGATTATACAAAAGGTATTTCCGAAATAAAATATTTCTTGAGCTAATTCTGTTAGTTCACCAAGTGATAAGAGAATACTTAATTTTTTTTTCATTTTCTGTAAAATTTAAGGAGTAACACCTTTTGAGTCTTGTTTTTTTTATATTCCATAAAGCCAATATTCATAGTTATATTTCTTTCATTTCAGGTCTTGCAGTTTGTTTTACGTTTGTATGGCACCTAACATTTTTCGCCGGATGCGTGGCTGTGTCCGGGTACAGGGAGAAAAGCAATCGTCACACTATTACGATGTTGAAAGTATTACCGGAATCTAGAGCTAGGAAAGGTAAATGACTCATTTTAATTATCTTCGAGATTATATAAAATTTGAAAGGAATATATGTCTACACGAACATTTAATATTGTTACAGAAGAGAAATCATGGTTGTATAGAATTTTCTGCAGCGGTGGCATTGATCAGGCTGATCCAGACAACCCAATAGACAACAAAGAACATTGCATTATGGCCTTCTTCCGCACTACTATGGCGAATCTGCTCAATAATAGTTTCGTCAAGGCTTTAGTCATACTCATATTCTTAGGATACTTAGCTGGCGCCGGTTATGGTGTGACGAATCTAAAAGAAGGTTTAGAAAGAAGGAAACTGTCGAAAGTTGATTCTTATTCTGTGGAATTTTTTGACCGAGAGGATTTATATTACCGGGAATTTCCTTATCGAATTCAGGTATGTTATCTTTAATTTGATGAAATGAATTTAAATTTTCCTTATGTATTCTGTAATAAGTTTAATAAAAAAAAATCCTCGATCAGTGATTGCAAATACGGTTTTTACATTTTATTTTCGCACTTGAAAAATTTTTATACACGTATATATAAATGGGTGAACTTCTTACAGGTTGTAATAAGCGGTAAATACAATTACTCCGATCCTAAAATCCAGGATGAGGTTGAGATTTTGACGCAAAGACTAGAAAATACTTCGTACATATCGAATTCTTTGTATACCGAATCCTGGTTGCGGACTTTTGTGAATTATGTGGAGAGAAATAATGATTATCTAAACATATCAATCGATTCCGAGGAAGACTTTATCAAGAATCTTAAAGAGGTAAGAATAATCTATACATAAAGTTAGTTTTCTTCTATTAATTTAACAAGAGTCAATATTTATCATTCATTTATCGTTTCAGTTGTGGCTGTTTTCGGCAAATCCATTTTCGCTCGACGTGAAATTCAATAAAGAGGGAGACCAAATTCTTGCATCTAGATTTCTTATTCAAGCTATCAATATTAGTGGAACTAACCACGAAAAGGAAATGGTTAAAGCTCTAAGAGAAGTCGTTGCCCAATCTCCACTTAACGCTACCGTATTTCACCCTTATTTCGTGTTTTTCGATCAGGTAAAAATATTTTGTTTTTTATAATTGCCCTATTATAACCCATATGTAAATATATATACATCTAGCTTGATTACAATTCTGTAGCTCTTAAATCTCAACTACTTTTCACGAATTACTGAATTAATTGACTACATCTAATATCAATTAAGACAACACTGTGAGCAAATTTTACTAAATAATGAAACTTATAATAATATTATCTTTTTAACGTAATCTATTTTGTATTTTCAGTTCGAGCTCGTGAGACCTACATCTTTACAAAACCTCTGTTACGGAGCTTTGATGATGATGATAACTTCGTTTATATTCATACCCAATATACTGTGCTCATTATGGGTGGCTTTCAGTATAATATCCATAGAAATTGGAGTAGTTGGTTATATGGCGTTATGGGATATTAATCTGGACTCAATATCAATGATAAACCTTATAATGTGCATTGGATTCTCAGTTGACTTCACTGCACACATTTGTTATGCTTATATGGCGTCGAAAGCTAAGTATCCCAGAGAAAGAGTGAGCGAATGTCTCTACTCATTAGGATTGCCTATTGTTCAAGGATCATTCAGTACAATACTAGGAGTTGTTGCATTACTACTCGCAGACAGTTATATCTTCTCGGTATTTTTCAAAATGGTATTCATGGTAATTTTCTTCGGTGCGATGCACGGTTTATTCCTTCTACCAGTTCTTTTGTCCCTATTTGGTCCAGGATCATGTACGAGGGAAACGAAGGAAATAAAAATAGCAAAAGTAGACAAGATATTCCCGAACCCGTATTGCTTGCCGCATCCTCAATTGGTTCTGAATGATCAAATTTATAATGGGAAGAATATAAATCCGAACGGTATTTACAAAATATACGGAGACGACAAGGATCTTGGAATCGGCACGTCAGGTGAAGATACTAGTGAGAGCAGCTCGAATCAATCACAAAGACGTCAAATCAGCAGCGACGAAAACAGCAGAAAGAATTACGAAGACGGATGGAAGAAATTCGGCTATCATCAGAGCACAAGCCAGTTCCAACCCTCGGGGGAGCTCGATTTGTATGAGCACGATCATGATAGGGCCTGGCAAAGACAACGCAACTATCGCAGTCAAGATAGTTACAAAAGACCAAGCCACAGAGACGGCGACTTTATAAGAACGAGGAAAACTAGCGACGCCGTACCAGCGAATGAAGGGACATACAGAGTGATGAGAACGCACTCCCATCACAACCTTCATAGGCCTCGAGCTCCCAGACGAACAAACTCAACCCAGAATCTCGACCACATAAACTACGTCGGAGAAATGCGTTTTCCTTGACATTAACCTAATGACCTCTAACAAAAAATTTTATCAAGTGCTCAATGTCGGACCAAAGTATTAATCCCTGTGGGTTTCGTGTAAGAACTTTTAAGTGTGGTATAACGAATGAAGCAGAATGTTAGTAAGTCAATATAGAATAGGTAATAAGCGTTTCATATGATTATATAACGCGCTTTAGGTTAAATGTAAAGGAATTGGAGCAAGGGGTGAACATAGTAAATATCAACTGTCTAAATTATTTCACCTTTACAAGTGGATATATATTTTCAATTTTGTTACAAAAAAAAAAACAGCAATTTTTATAATAATTTATTTAAACTTACAAGTTCCTAAGGTGTATGTGAGTAACGCTATTTCAGTCCTTGCTTAAACTATCATTAATGTTACATATTTAACCTGGCAGAATAAAAAGGGTTAGCTAATTAAACTTATTTAAAAAAAAAGTTGAAGACGTTTCTAGTGTGATAATTATTTTTAATTTTGGGTCGGGTTTGTACCTTAGACGTGTAAATATGTGTGTATTTAAAGTTTTATGTAAGTTTTTCATTGATTAACGAAGCTTTAACGTTACCTGTCTAGAGATTTCTGTAAATATTATGTGATACACTTCTGATGCCATGTACCACTATCTAAGGTACCTTTTATATGGAAAAGAAACTGTTCTAATAATAATCATTCATACTATAACGTAATTGCCTTGCATTTTATGACAATAAATTTATTCGTATGAATGATATGTGATCACTATCACACCTCATGACTGAATATTGTAAATATTTCAATTGTTTTATAATTAATAAAATTAGTTTTGATAAAACACCTATCCTTATTTCATTGTCCTTAGAAAAAATAACTTATAATTAATATTTAAAGCTAAATATTAAAACTACAAGTCCAGCCTCCATTCTGAACTAAAGTTCATAATTAATCTTAACTAGGATCAACTCTAAAATAATATACATATGTAATAACCTAGCAGCTATAAAGGTTTATCATGTACCTTTCTTAACAAATCACTACAAAATAGTATCAAATCTTTAGACTCAAAGAATTTGCACAGATAATCTTGTACCACAGAGAGTTTCTTGTCACTGCCGCTACCGTTGGTAGAGCTATGCAGGCTCTGGTCTTCAATTATCCTGTTGAGGAAGTCATTGCAGTTGGATGAATTAACTTTCTTCATGATCACGTCACTGAGAGCGTTGAATGACAAATTTTCAGCTATCTTCTGTTTAGCAGTTTCGTCCAAATTCTCACAGATGTTATCAACAAAATCGTTTCTCTGAAATTATACAATACACTGTTAGTTTGGTTTTACAAAAATTAACGTCTATATAAATACCTAAGTGTAGTTTAGAAAAAAATCTATAGCCATTTTATTATAAAATAAATAGTATAAACTAGTTGAAATTAAAATTTTTCAATATTTTTTTATGAAATGAAAAAATCGTATCATTTTTGTATTGAAATAAAAAGGCAATACAGTCAATATAAAACAACATATTTTTAAAATACAAAAGAAAATGGGATGAATATGGAAATTACTTACTTCTGCCAAACAATTTGTTATAATATCTGCGGTTGTCCTAAAACCTGTTTCATTTGTTTGTGAACTACAATGATTTGTCTCTATGTTATCGGTTTGTGTAAAATTCAAACTGAATTCTTGTTTGTCTGTTTGCATTTCGTTATTTTCAAACGTCACTTCATTTGTTTGCATTTCCGTGGAATTAAATGAAATATCAGACGCTATAGACTCATTTGTGGGAATAGTTTTTGTAGTTTCATTATCATTTACCTTTTCATTATTGACAACATAATTGTTTAATACTTCTTTGACGGATTCAACTTTGGGTTCTTTTATAGAAAATCTGTTTATTTCCAATTCAGTCATTCTTGCGAGGTCCCCAATTTTAACAACTTTTCCTTCAAACTCTTTCATCAGTGAAGTTTTCGTTGCTGATGATAATTCTTCGGCAATATTAGTGATGGGGTCTTCGCAAGTAGCTAGTTCCAAACAAATTGGATCCATATCATTTAAATCACTGGTTTTAATAACTTCCAATACTGGAGTTTCGTCTGGGGAACAACTCACTTCAGTATCTACAGATAACTCAATATTGAAGCTTTCTATAGTTTTAGTCAGAACAGAATCTAGCTTAAATACATTATCGAGCCTCTTTGGTGATCTTGTTGGCAACTGGGACCGCAACTGTCTCTCCTGCCTTTTGATAGCAGAATTCTGAGGTGACCGTACTCCACACGGTTCTATGTACTTTTTGACGCATATAGTCGTAGATACAGGGGGATCGTGAAAACTTACTCTTTTTCTCTGAAAAATAAAAATATTAATAATATAATCGAAATTTTTTGTGTTATTTTAATACTATATTTTAAGTATACTCACTTTGCTGGCAGGCGAGGCGGTGGCTTCGTCAGTTATTTCAGCCAATTTTCTCTTTAAAATGGGAACGGACGGGCTGCAGTCTACAGGTGGCAAAGATCTTTCAAATTTCAAAAACGTGGTACTCTCTTCACTATCTTTGTCTGTTTCGGACCCATCGTTGTTATCTCCATTGGCACTGTTATATAGTATCCTCAGATTGCGTCTCGCTGATGTATTCATTGATGGACTCTTTTTTGTATCTTCAATATCTGAAGGTTTTTCAGAAGAAATGATAGTTTGTATTCTATCTGGGACACATAAACCAAGCATCTGTGCTCCCCGACCTCCTTGACGCACTTGCGGTTTATTTTTCTTCAATGACAGAGATGATCTCGGACTCGAATTTGTGACATTAATTTCTTCTCTTGGCGGTGAAAGATCTCTGGCTTCCAAAGATTCTTTATCCTCTGTGAAGATCTCCGGCGATTCGCATTTACTGAACGGTTCACCATCTATGTTCACCGGCGAAGACAGTTTAACAACAACGTAATCACTACTTGTTTCCGGTGATGGCGATTTCTTATCTCTACATGGACTTAGAGTTTTTATGGGAGATATTTCAAGTGTGTTGTTGAGGAAATCCTTTTTTCTTTGTTCTTCGTCCTTGAACGAAGAGCAAGCCTCGTCAGTTTGAACTTCCGCTAACATAGAATCGGTAATAGTTTTGGTTACTTCCTCAGGAGTTGCAACAGTCGATGCGTTTGTGACATCAATATCTAAATCTTCATTACTTGCACTTTTATTGCTTTCTGATAGATTTTCGCCTGTTTTTGGTAATGTTTCTTTGTCATTAAAACCCCTAAATACATTTGAGTCCAGCGATTCCGTGTCAGCTTCCGCCGTTATCTGTGTTTCTTGAATTACAGTTTCATTTTTATTATTTTCTCCTATAATTGATTCATCTTCGTCATTAATAGTAATGACGTCATCAGTAGATTTTTCAAAGGATTCTGTGTCCATATTTTCTGTTAAATCTATAACAAGGCTTTCTTTTGTTTTATTAAGAGGCAACTCGATATCCACTGTGATATCAGTAGGGACGTCACAATTAGTGTCTGACAGTATATTTTGTGACTGTTTGTCCTCAAATGAGTGGTTTTCTAGTACCACAATAGGCAATTTATTTGTAATACCCTTTGCTGGCTTAACAGATACAGTAGACACAGTAGATTCCTGAGAGCTTTCTATAACATCCTGAGTTTCAACAATGTCAACTTCATTTTGAGTTTGTTTTAAGGAAACGTTTAGATCTTTAGCTTTCTTCTCTTTTTTTGCACTTTTGGGTTCTGATTTATTTTTATTCGATTTTAATGACGTGTTCTTTCTGGTGCAAGGTGTATTTAAAATGGCTTTCCTAGTCAATCTCTTCTCTGACTGCACCTGTAAGAATGGATGACCTTCAACCATGTCTATAGCTAATTCCTTCTCAATTCTAGACTTTTTAGTTGATTTTTTATTTGATGACTTAGGGGCATCGGTTGCTTTATTTTTTTCAGCTTTGGGTGTGCTAAGACCAGTATCCTGAGACTGAGATGGAGTTTCTTCTATTTCCTTTGCCGGTTTTGCGACGTCACTTTTTTGGCTCTCTTCAATATTTTTATTCTCTTGAATAGTTTCTGTAATCTCAACAGCTTCTTCTTTTCCAATTTTTTTATCACCATCACAGCCATCATCCTTGTGCTCAACGGTTTTTATTTTCTTAGAACTTTGTTTGTCTGGTGAGTCTTCATCAATATTTTTCCCGTCATTATCTTTAGGATCAGTATGATCTTTGACGATATTATCTTTAGAATCTGTAGCAGCATTAACGTCTTCTACTGGACTATCTGTTATTTCACCATCAGATGGGGAATCACTAAGGCCAGCAGAGTAACGTTTTTTCTTTAAAGAAAATATTTGTAGATCATCAAACTTCCTAGGTATTCTTTTAACGCGTGTTGGTCTATCAGCATTGATATGTGACGGCGCAGAGTTAATAAGATTGGTCGTAGGCTTTGTTTTCGTCACTGATGGTGTTTTTGAAACATTTCCCATTATATTCGAAGTATTTTCGTTCTCGGATACGTTCGATTTTTCCATTAAATTGCGAACGTTACGAAAAACACGATCTTTTAAGGCCATGCGCGGCGATTTTGCGACTTTATTTGTGGTTTTAGTTATTTTATCGTTAGTGTTTAATTTAACGGAATCATTTTCACTGTCGACTTTAGTGTTTGAATCCTTTTCCTTATCAACTATATTTTCTAACATTTTTGGTACGAATTCATTGTTTGGTATATTTTTAAGTATGGTTTTTGCGTCCTCATTACCTTGTACACTAGCTGACTTACTACCGGTAGAAGTATCCATTGAATCGCTTTTCCAGGCAGTTAGTTTGAAATCATCTTGAGATTGCGACAAATCTTGGTATAAAGCCGGAATATCTTCTCTCTTTCTTTGTAATTTTTCTTTCTGATTGTCTGTCAATTTACGCGGATTGAACTTCCAATTTGATTTGACTACTACAAATTCTTCCCCATTTTCAACAACTGTATTCACAATACTCGTTTCTTTCTTTTTATTTTTATTTGATACTTTATTACTCGACGTAGCAGGTTTCTCCTTTGAACGTAATTTATTACTTTCTATATTTTTTGGATCATCATTTTCAAAAGTTTTTACTAGTTCACTAAACTTATTATTTTTGTTTGAAGACTTATGAATTACGTCAGTAATTTTATTTAATTTATCTTCGTTTTTGATAATATGTGCTATATTTTTTAAATCATCTACAAGTAATGATTTGAGATCACTATATTTTTCCATTTCAAACATTATGTCCAAAGATTCCAAAATTTTCTTCAAATTACTAATGATTACCGACATATCCTAAAAACATAGAAAATTTGGTTAAATTATACTTATTGGTAGACTAATAAACAATATTATGTTTGTGGCATTACTTACACTGCTTGATTCTGATATAGAAAGAGTTTTCTTTAATACATCAGCAGCCGTTAAGACAATTGTTTTAGCAATTTTTTCATTAATATTTTTTGTAACACTATTACAAATATTCACAATGATATTCGACAATGTTGGTATAATTGAAGTAAAATCTGTTTCGTTTAAATTACACACTGATTTGTATAATAATTGTGCCTCTTTGTTAATGTTAATGGCTGAAACAAATACAAAAGAAAACACATTTATTACCTTATTAAAGCAAATATGAAAGTTTACTTTAACTAATCGAGCAATATCATATTACTAAAGAAAACATCAGTGGTTTATCAAAGTTTTAAGCTATACCCAAGTTGCCTCATTCAAAATGCCTTGTGCATATTTCTTTTTAATCTGTCTTTACTTTAAAACAGATCTCTAAAAGAAAATCACAGAAAAAAAACAAAACTATTGCATTACATAACAGAAAGCAAAATAATAAGGACACATATAATTTTTATCTTAATCAAAAGTACAATAAAAATATTATAAACAAAAATGCAAGAATTTAGTTTATTTTCAATATTGTCTCACTGATTTTACAATGGTCTTTAGATATAGCTACAGCCACCAAGATTTCAGAGAGTGGGTCTTGGGTAGAGTCTAAGCTTAAAGCACAATTGATAAAGTATTTCAGGACGCCTTTATAATCATTTATTGCTCAAATTATTCTTTGCACATAGTAGACAAAACATTTTTTAATATTTCTTACCTTCTGAAGCATCTAACTTTTGTTGTAACAAAAGTAAAATAATGTCTACTATAAATATTCTTGAATTTTTGGTACCATTCAAAGCCATTAGTGCATTCAGTATATCAGTAGACCAAGTAGTCTTATGGAGAGTTGGATACAAAAATTTATATAGGTCCATCCAAGAAGTTGTTGCTTCATTATTCTGTAATTATAATTTTCATTATGATCTCAAGTGGTGGATATATAAATATAAAATATATAAACCTTTGATAAATATAATAACATTTAAATAATATGATATTTTCAGATTCAGATATGATAAATATAATATTTTCAGATTACTACGCGTCATTTTATTATTTTGGTTTAGGTTACTTTTCAGCAACCGTGATCACTTGTAGATGAAATTTTTATTTTTTTTCATCTCATCTTCCTGTGCTCACGGTTATAAAATAATGCATAGAAATCCGAATATATTAGTTGTATTTTATTTAAATACATACTCGCCGAAAGTCTTAAACCTCAGTAATAAACATTATGTCAAGAAAAAGGCATAATATATAACATACCTTTACAAACATTTCTAAATATTGAAATGGCCAAAGAAGCAATTTACATAGCATCCTTGAACACGAACTGTATTTTTGTTCACAAATTGATTGTGACAAAGCAATCCATACTGAGACATTATTTGATGAACAGTCCTTTAACAAGCATTCAATTGTGTGACTTGATGTTTTGAATGCATCATCTACAAGATAATCCATCATATTTCTCAATTTAGCTACATTAAGTCTGAAAGATATAATTGTAAATCAAAAGGACATGTTACAAACAGATATTATTATTAAAGCTTTGACATTAAAATAAAATATTATTTTTTAACATATTTTCTTACCCGGGATCTGATATTGATAGTGAAAGCTTCAATAATGTAGCAATGATTTTATTAACAGGAGAGTCTTCATCATTTTCAATTTTTAATAAAGGTCTGATTTTATCATGATTTTCAAACAATATTGGAATTAAAGCATTATTAATGATTTCAGCATCTCTTTTATTACCATCCTGAAAATAAAACAAAAAACATATTACTATTTTGTTTGCAGTATATTAAGTCTTAGTAGAATAGTTTTTCTATTTTGTTTTTGTGTCATACTTTTTATATACATATATGATATAATTACTTTTAAGTTTACATCAACTGTAAGTAAAATATTGAAATCTAACTTATCACAACTATGCAATTTAAAGCTTAGAATAGGCAAAAGAGACTGAAATGTGATTAGACTTTGTACATCTATAAAGTGATATGCTATGAAAATGCAACCATGAAAAGTATATAAAGAATTTTGGAATAGAGAACAAGGGTTTGAGGACCTATGTAAAAGATGAATTAAAAGAGTGTAAAATATTGTTTATAGACAGGAAAAAGACCTCACTATTTTCATAATAACAAACAATTAAGGATCTCAAATCAATTGTTATAAATTTCATTAAAAGGTTCAACTACTAAGTATTTGAAGTGGATGTAGTTTAAATATTGTTAACCAGAAATAGAATATATATAAATATCTCAACGATATTATTCCAAAGCAATTTTTCAAGCAAGAGCATTAAGTTGATGAAGTTTATCATTGAAAAATATTTCACATTAAATTTACTAACCCTCGGTAATTTTTCTAAGATTGCCAGCACTTCATTGAAGATGTCTCTTCTAACATTATCCTCTGAGATTTCACCAATTGTCATAATAGATGATTTCCAAACACATTCAATATGTTCCTCTTTAAAATCATTTTCAATACAAATCTTTAAAGCAGAGGTTAGAGAATGTATCCAAATGCTGCGATGGCTAACAATCACTTTAGCGTTTATAATTTTTTCTCTTAATTTTGGATATTCCCCACAAGCATTACAACTGTCATGACCAACTATATTAATAAAAACTTTAACACATTCAGTCTTTGTAACATTTGATATCATACCAGGTATAATGACTGGTTTATCTGATACTGGTTTCCCAAAGCAGAAATGTAAGAATGGTATCAATATAGTTTCAGAAAAATTATTCATATTTGAATGGAAGCACTTTATCAAATGCCACCAAGTTTTCAGTTTAGCTAAAGCTGTTTCTTCTACTTTGGCATTATTTGATAGGAGTGGTATAATGAGTAGTTTTATCCTTTTATTTATATAAACTTCATTTGTTTCTGATGAGAAATTGTCAATTAAGACATTCCAACATTTAAAAGCTCTGCATCTATTCTGTACATCCATTTTAAAAGCTGTCTCAACGACTGGAAGCATTGAATTGATAGGACTCCCGACAGTACTTGTGTTTTTGGTTATTTGACTTTTCAATAGTTTTATAAAAACTATCCACAATCTATGCCAAGCTTCATTTCCTTGTTCTAGTAACGATTTCATAATTGCTGGATACCTAAAAATTATTAGAAAATACTCATATAATTGAAAATAAATAAAAGAAGTCTTATGAATAATGTTAAAATAAAGTTTAAACTTATATATATTGGGTGTGCAAATAGAAACTCTGCTCTAGGTTGGTTACATGAAACAAAGTACTTTAACTTATCCAATTTGTCCGCTGATTTGAATATTTGTGTTGTGGCCATTGTAATAGTTATATCAGTTGTTTTCAATTAGTTATTTCCTATTTATCAATTTTATAAGATCGATTTTGATAAGCAACATTTACGCCATTGCATCCTGTTGTTTTAAAATGAATAAAAATGATGCTCAAGCTATGGAATTTATTAATTCCATATTGGGTGAACATTCTGTGAGCCATTTAACTGTAAAAAAGTGGTTTTCAAGATTTCGTGATGGAAATTTTAGTCTTGAGGAAGATCCAAGTCTAGGTGCAGTCAAAAAGTTTGAGGATGAAGAACTTCATGTTTTTCTGAATGAAAATCTATATTAAACTCAGGAGGAGCTTGCAGAACAGTTAGGAGTTACTCGCCAAGCAATGTCACTTTGATTGCATGCATTAAGAAAAATACAGAAAGAAGAGAAATGGGTTCCTCGTAAACTGACAGAAGAAAACAAAAAACAAAGAGTGCCATTTGCATGAATTTGCTTTCTCTGTTCAAAGAAAAAAAACTGCATTAAATCATTACAGATGATGAAAAATGGATTTTATACAACTATCCTAAACATAGAAAAGCATGGATTGATACAGGCCAGCCATCGCCATTCGTTGAAAACCAAATATTCATGCAAAAAGTTTTGCTGTGTCTTGTGGGATTGGAAAGGAATCATTTACTATGTGTGTCTTGAACCTAGCCAAACTGTTACAGCTGAGCATTACCAAGCTCAACTGATCAAATTATGTGGTGCTCTGGAAGAAAAAATTCCATTTATGGGACAAGGAAAGTGAAAAGTTATGTTTTTGCATGATAATGCACATACATTGCATGATAATACACAGAGAGCAAAATCAACACAGGAACTCATCTTCAATTTAGGCTGGGAAATTGTTCATCATGTGTCATATTCACCAGACTGGGTCCCTTTTGATTATTACTTATTTAGATTTTAGATAGATGTCATCATATTTAAAGGAGGAGCACTTCACTTATGTCAGAGATGTCCGAAAATGGCTGTTTCAAAACTGACAAGTTTCTATTGCGAAGGCATTTGTCTCAAACCCAATAAATGTTAGAAGAAATTAGATAATAATGACGAATATTTTGATCAATAATTCTTTTAACAAGTATTTCTTTAACAAAGTTGAATTTGCCAAAAATTTCTACTTGCACACCCAATATGTTTTAACATTTAATTAAAAAATTAGCATATTCTACAATTTATAATAACACAATATAGGCAAACTAATTGAGTCCCATATGACATAATATAACAGTCTGAAAATGCTGTCATTTAATATATCGTCTGGGATAGTGCAAATATGTATATGTTACAAGCATTGGATATTTCTACATACCTACAATAAAAGCAGCTTTACAAAGGAAGGGCAAAATTAATAATTTTCTAAATTTAATGACTTTTAAGTAAGATTTAACAAAGTGATTAATTATTATGTATTTAATTTATTACTTATTATGAAAAATGACCTTAAAAGTTTAAAATTATGAAAAAATAAGTTTTAACATTCCTTTGCTTTTGCTGCAAATAAGTAGAATTATCACATGCTAGTTACACGGATTCAAACTTTTCCCAACAATATGTTGAGACTAAATTTAGGTAACTATGACAAAAATGTTCATACTAACTTTTGTGGTGTGTAGATACATGTTAAGATATTTTTCCAGTGTTGATTGTCCATGTACTCAAATTTAACAATTTCTTCTGTTAATAATTCCAATGTCTCAAGAACACTTTTATTTGTGGGACATAGCATTACTGTAGGTACAATCTTTGAGAACCAAATATTTAGACCTTCTTTGACAAAAGTTGTCTTCTTATCTGGTGGCAATATCTTCAGTAATGTTGTAACCAAACATAGAGGCTGTAAATTAATTACAAAACAATATTACATTATTATATTTTGTTTGATATAATTCTATATGATATTTTGTTCCTTGAAGTCATACCTGTATTCTAATTTCTGGTGGTATCCTTTGATGGCAATACAAATTAATAAGTTCCATCAGTTCATGAGACTGTTCTACAACTAATGCTATGAGTGTTTCATCAGGATACAGAGACATAATCTCGAAACACAACATCTTGAGTGTTTCCACTTTGTTGAACAATGCTGTGGTTTTTAACATTCTTAGAACCATAATAGCTGAAGGCAAAAAATCTGGCAGAGGTACACATGGTGTTACCTAGAAATCAGGTAAAACCTTTTTTGAATTAAAGAACACTCAATAAAAATATATATATGTTATACCTAATAAAATTAGAAATACATATATTCTAATATATTATAACTTGTACGAAAAACCTTAAATTCAATAAATTTTACCTTAATTTTCATGAGAAGCGTCCGTAAAATATTAAGGCCATTTAAAGTTGAGTTTACGTCTTCTTTAAGATCACAAACGCATATTAATAATAACTTTTTAATTGTTTGTATAGACACGTATTCTGTTGAATCCAAAGCTATTTGAATGCTCTGATAATTATTTTCTTGTAAGTTATAATCCTCCATTACGTCTAACAGCCGTTCAAGGCTTGCACTTGTGAGAGACTGTTCTTCAGGCATATCTAAAATATAAAATTTCGACGCTCATTTACGATAACTAGTAATAAACGAATGTTATGTACTAGGAAGATATTTTAAAATTGTATAAATATCATGCTAGGATATATAATGAAACAAAAGACGGCAACCACGATTAACCGGTTTAACAATACGGTTCTACATATTGTACTCAGCAATCCGAAAACTAATTCAATTTTTTAACATATTTCAGAAGTATAAACTTGTAAAGTTCTACCTGGTAGTCCAAGTTCTATTTAATAATGCGTAAATCACCACTTTTATCTTCCCAACAATACGTTATACGACAGTTTTATACATAATACATTTGACAAATTCATTTTTTAACGATTCTGGCGCGAAGTATGACAGATAAACAGTAGGTAGGTACGTTAACAGATTGTCAAAAAACATACAAATACTTACAAAAATTTATTCTTTTTTTTTAACATAATATATTTAAAAAAATTATTACGTTCTTAATATGAATATAATTTTTTTTAAAGACATACTATACGAAAAGTATTAGGATGTGCTGTTATGACTTAAAAAAAACACATAGTCGTAAGAAACAAATAATCTTATAAAGGAAATACTTTTTAAGTCAAACTAAAAAACTTATAAAATGATTATTAGTTAATAAATGTTCTACTAATGTTCTTTTAGACAAAGTATTGTATCTCTATGGCAGAAATAGTCAGGAATAATTAAGCTTAGGCCTAACAGAAGGTTAAGGACAACAGAACAGTGTTTGAAACCAGTATTTTTTTATAAATTCCGTACAATACATAAAATCTAAATATTTTTGTTATTTCTTTACTAAATTTATAATTTATATTCTTTAAGTTTTACACCGAAATTTAAACGAATATTATTCTTTAAGGTTAACAGCCTTATTCATAAATTACGATATAGTCCCACAATACTCTGTCTTTGGCGATTTTTCTCAAAATTAAAATTACCTACATAACAACGCCATCTATCTGTGGTTCTACTTCTACCTTTATTACATGGTGGCCTTTTCCATTTTTTAATTTGAAATATTCAACGGTTATTAGAAAATGGTGACGGATAATTATTTTCATAATACTATTAGTAATTACATCTTCGACTAATTATATCTTTGTCTTTATTATTATTTTCTTCCGAAACAACTTGAATTACTAGAACTGATACTTCTATTCTGATAAGTAGTCAGAGTCGAAATTAAAATATAAGTTGAGATTAACTTCAGTATGGATAGTGATTACTGTAATTAACTTTGTGAACGTATTTTCGCTTATGTGGCGACTAGTTATTTTTTCTGATACGGTTGCCTAATTTTTTAGAATAGTATATTGTAAAGTTAGTTTTATAAAAATCGCGAATGTGATTTTTGTACTAAGCTGTGAGAGTTTCTTAATATTATTCTTTTGGCGTTTATAACTTCAAGTCGATTTCTTTATCAATTAGGTGGAATTATAAGAAAGTTATTATGACTTCATACTTATATTGCGTTGCATTTTGTTTTCTGTCCTATGAATGGAGATAAATTTTTTAATTAACTTTATAGGATACCGATATTTTTCACCAAGATAAACAAGAGCAAATGTCAAATAACGATCCTGCTTATGGAGTAGAATTAGTAGGTATTTTACTTATAATATGTATCTACGGCATGTCATCTTCAGTAAAGCGTTCACTATTATTATTTCACGCACGCATATTAATGCATTTACTTTATTCTGAAACCAAGTGCCGTAGCGAGCACTCGCGTGTGCTTCTAAGATAATTTCTGTCGCCAATTGCGCATTGTTGAACGTTCCCGCGTGCTTTGAATAAAAATAAGTGTTGCCCAGCGATGCACGTAAATAACAAGTCCATGTGTGGATAGGATGTGGAGACTGTTGTAATGGTTATGTGCCAAATTCGGAGACTATTAGTTCTAGTGGTTAGACTGTGAAATTGTTAGTACAGCAAATATGCCAGGGCATGCGAATAGCCCGTACTGGGCTGCCGTCGATTTCGACAGTGAAGGTGAAGAAGACAGGAGCCCACCAAATAATAGAGTATACCTTGACCCGTGGGATAACGAAGCTTTTGGTACCGTAACAACAGAATCACCGGATTCCAGCCAGGAACACATGAACTCCTTCGCCGGTGAACCAATTAGCGCCAGTTTTTACTATGTGCCTACTAAAACATATGATTCAGGTGAAGAACCTAAGCCAAATAAACGAGTAATTTATCCTGAAGATATGGTTACACCTGATTATTCCATGTATGGTCGCAGACCATCAAAACATATGGCACCAGACTACCAAGATATGATGTACGGACAGAGACCAATGCGTAAGTTATATAATAGTAATATTTTAAGACAAACTATTGTAGTAATTAAAATCATATTTAATTTTAATTAAATATAATTCTCGAAACCGCACCTAGACATTAATTAGTTAAAACGTTTCTGAATAACCGTTCTTAGTGGGTAGATAAGTAAACTAATGCACTCTCTCCAATTTAATCATAAATACTTCTTAACATTAATTTATTAATGTATCACGCAACTAAGAGATCACGATTAGGAGAATACTTAGAAACATTTTAATTATTTAATATAATTAATATTTATAAATAAAAATAAAATTATAAATTCAGTCAAGTTTGTATGTTATCTAAAGTTTATTAAACTTTTTTGTTTACTATGACTACAATCAACGAAAATCCAACTTATTTCAATTTTTATTAAAAAAAAACAATTATGAATACAGAAGAGTTTATTAGTAAGCTGATGTTTTTAAAAATATTCTATTTCTTTTGTTATACCTTCAATTATTTCAATATAAATATTTAGCATTTATTTAGAAAGCCATAAATTATATCATGAAATTCATACTTGATGTCATCGTTGTACATATTTACAGCGGAACGTAGAAGATCAATGTACATAGAGGAACCAATATACGCACCGTATCCCATGATATATGAACCTTTGTATGCACCTGTACCAATGCCGCATCCATACGTTCCGCCGCCTCCGAGATCAAGGATGTCAATACAACACCAACCTGATTATGTCATGGCGAACAATCATAACAAACAGAGACGACAATCCAGGTAAAAAATATTAAATTATCTTTGAAGATAAATAAGGAAAAGATAAAAAAGGTATTACTATCTTTCTAAAACATTTGTTTTATGTCTAGAATTACTACAATTCGTACCCGTTGGGACATCTGTTTAAAAAACTACGAGATTCATAATATCTTTTCACGTTCAGATGCGTAATACAAACGTTAATGGTCACAAGTCATTCGCTGTTACATTGTGCATGTAAAGTGCGTACTATTTGTCCGTGAGCATTGATTTCGATCAATAAGTTTCATAAGGTGTCGTGAAAGCCGAAGAAATCAGAATTTCTTATTCTTAGTAAAAAACATATCATGTTAACATTGAGGAAAGAACTAGGCTTGGTGTTTTAATATATAAATTCATATTATATTTTGCAAAAGCGAAATACAATTATGTTTATCACGGTAGGATGTGCGTTGTGCGTAAAGATTGCTAATGCTAAGTCTTTCAAGACATAAGTGGATATCTAACCACGCAAATATCTTCAAGTTAATTATAGGTACTCACCGTCATAATTCTTTATATAAACTTTCTTGTGTATTACATTTCTATTCGTATGTTAAACTTATAAACCGAGGATTTGCAACACGTTTATGAAATATATGGCCACTATTTTGGTAGAAAAAGGTGAATAGGCCTAAAATCCCAACATTGTAACTTAACGTATTTTATTTAAAAATTTTAAACACTACATAACTGAAATATTAATATATTTTCAGAAAAATTAACTAAGGTATTTCTGTATAACCAACACTGTTTGATGTTCTAAGACTAATTTTTGAGAACATATCTTCGTAGTTTTCAATTTTTATTACTAAGCTAACTAAATTTAATATTTTAACATTCTCATAAACAATCACATCTTGTTAGTATAATTATCTAAAAATGACGTAACACGTTATAAAGTTTTTATTTACTTTTACTAACATTAGAACATCTAATAGCAATTCCCATTAATTACAGCTACAAATAATGTGTGTACCGCGGAATCGATCGTAAAAAAACTGTATCATCACGGTCTGGGATTCGCAGTAGTTCAGAAACACAAGTTTCTTTGTATCATAACTATGTACATTCAACCATCTACCCATCCGTCGTGTGAACAGTCGTTTTTGCGTCTACAAAGTACAAATGAAAGTTGCATCTGTGAGAATCTAGCTCGTTTATTGCCTATAGAGAAACTCGTTCCTAGCATTGACCTCTGGATTACTGCATCGTTTGCATAATCATGCATCCGAAAAAAATAAGCTATTGACTGACTACTATTATGTTATTATATTATGTCAAAGATACTAAAAATATAACGAAGTTAGTGTCCTTTAAATGAGTAAGATAAGGAAAATTGAAATGTAAGCGTTAAAATTAATTGTATTTTTTTTATCATACAAGATTTTTATTCACCTAGATCCTGGAATTTAATATACCTATTAACGTAGACTATTACACTGTTACTAATAAAATAAATAGATACCTATTCAACCTCCTAAAAATTTTTAACAAAAAAAATTTATTAAGGTATCAAAAAACTAAAAGTTTTTAATTAATTCGTAGATGTCCTGCAATTTGTAGTGAAATTACAATTAGTTGGTTGCATAAATTGTGCTAAGTAATGCGGAGTATCAACCTGTATTCATAAATTAACGATTTAGTGCGAAGTCGCTGGTTCGTACCCTGTTTGTTATCTAACAATCACGTATTGATACGGACGAGAGCTTGTAGTAAAGAAGCCATGTATACAATTATAATTACACAAGCTAAGTACACGTTGAGAGTAGTTTCTATAACCACCTCAACCTAACCGTGAGAATAAGTGAGAGTAAGATAAATTATTCAAAAGGAATTTCTATTTGTTCTTTAACTTAAAAAATCTGTAGATTCAAATATACGTCGTATTTTTATGTTTTCCGTATTTTGGGTTGGGTAACTATTTAAGTTGAAAGGATTAATTCTATATTATAATATCTTTTATCTCATAGAATGGCAGAAGCATACGACCACTATATTTACGAAACCCTATCTCCGGAGTACGAGGACTGGGCGAGGCCGATGCCAAAGACGGTTCCAGGAAACTTCCACCTGTCTCGATATGGACATCTCCAAATCGATTATTCTTGCAGTTGGAATTCTCTCGATAGAATTATACGCAGCCAATAATTAATTTAATTTAGATTTAATCTTTGTGCTCTCTCGATATGTGATTATTATGAATGTTTTTTTTATTTGCACGATAATATATTTTGCAGTATGTTATCTCATTAGAATTAATTTATGTTTCCTTGACCCAAATAAATCGTAAAATTAAACATTACATTAGATAACTGTTGTGTAATGTATGAATAACACGCGAAGTAATAATGAATTGGTATATTGTTGCTATACAATAATATTACTATTTACCTAATTGTAATTCCAAAATCGGCGAACCAAAATAATATTAATTGGAGAAGAATATGTAAAGAACTAGAGAAATAAATTATAGTTTTAATAGAAATATAAAATTGAAAATTTTATTAGCAATTAAATTAGAAATAATAAAGAAAAATAAAAAGGTTGTAATTTAAAAATGCGATTTTGTGAGACTTTTGCTATCTCACAATATAGATTAATCGCAACAGACATTGCAAGCCCCATTTTGTATTATAAAAAGTAATAGCAAAGTTTTCAAGTTGTGTAAATTGTAATTTAACACAGCGTGTATGTATAATGGAATTATATTATTATTTCTAATGGGTAGTTTACTTTAATTATAAGTTATATAATAATGTTTCACATATGAAACATTTGAATGTATAAAATTTAATACGTAAATATTGCATGCAATAATGCTATTTTGCACCAGCCAAAGAAATATACTTATAATAATTGTTATAGGAGTTGTTTTATTTTATGTAATTACTATTTCTCTCGGCAAATGAGTACAAGGAGCTGATTGTGAACCCCTTTTTAATAAGTCTCTAAGAAGAGACATTTTGGTTTTACGCTGCCCTTAAACTATTTAAAGGTGATTCCTATATATGAAAGTAAAAAAGACAGATAGTGGACATTTGTTTCGTATCTTTTCACTGAACAGAAATTCCAAGTAAATATAGAAAAAAAACAAAATCATCCTTTACCCATATTTTAACTTTCGTAACAGTCACACGTAGTTAAATTTGGATTATATTAAATAAAGAATTTTATAACAACTAACTACTCTACAGCCATGGCTTCCTGTACTTTGAGTTATATCTTTTCAATTAATTGTTTGTATAGATAGTATAATCGAGAAATGTATTCTAAGTATGGAATTAATTGAGTAATTTGTCCTATTTTACAAGACGTTCTTTAGTAAGGTAGGAAGTTTTAATGGGGTGTGATTAGAAGGAGATATGAATCTTGAGATATGGGATATAATTCGGTTTTAAAAACAAAACCTAACTTCTTCTGCGACAATATTTTTGGAAGCTTTAAGATTATCTCCGTCTTCACTTGAATATTACTTCTGAAAATGTGTTTTTAAACATCGTAAAGCTTTAGAAAATATTGGTCTGATAACTTATTTACTTAAGGTGGCTGAAGGTCTTATATTACTCGGAACTCCTCCCAAATCAAGAAATAATATGAAAAGCTTGAAACTATAATACTTATAAGTCTCATTTAGAGCCGTAATCCGAGAATGAGTTACGGAAAACTTCCCGTATAGATGACGTCACAAGTGTCAAATTATGCACCAGACAACGAAAATTATTAAGTAACAAATTTTGCATGAAGACGTCATCCGCTTTACCTTGCATGTGCGTACGCAGGCGCTGCCTAGACATTGATATGACTCTCAGGGTGCATATTGAAGTATAGAATATAAGGTTTTATTATGGTATTTTGGATTTACGAATGAAATTAACGATATATTATGCGTGTGAATAGTAAATAAAAAACATGATTATTTTGTAATATTAAGTACAAAACATTTTTCGTCACACATTCCTGCTTAGATTTTGTAACTTCGAAAGCCACACGACAATCATTTGTCCAGTTAATGGATTACGAGTATTGTGTTCATATATTAATAACTTTATTACATACCTACTGGCTAGCTATTAGTCAAGGCATACTGTCCAGAATTCTTCACCACTAATCCACGTTCTTTGGCAACGCAAACAAATGAGTACTTTAAATTCAATAAATGTGGCTACGAAAAAACCACAAAAGATTTGATTTAAAATAACAAACAATTACTTGTTGGTTTTATCACATTCCCTTGTTTTTCGTGTGGTCTCATAGTAGGGGAATTCAACGAATAATATTGCTGTTTATTTAAGTATTAGCTTTCTATGGGAATTATGGTGAGAGCTGACAATTTGTTTGGAAAAATACTTTCATATAACCGGTGGCTAGTAAAGTCACAGTAAATAATAGTTATTACATTTATATAATAACTAAATCATAACACTTAACATAAAAAGGTATTTTACTGTTATTTACCATCGATAAACTTAATAGTGCACTTTATAGACTGTCGTTGAAAACCTATTATTTATATATTACCTATACTCATGAAAACAGTCAATAAATATGAAAGCGAAAGCTGTGATCGCTTTATGAGATAAACAGCGTATATTAGTTATTACAATTATGACGTAATTTACAAAGACGTAACTATTAAAACCGTCTTAATTACAACGTATAAAAATTATTAAATTAGATCCAAGAATTCGGATCAAGAGATAATAATTTGATGTAAAATTATTATTACATAATGCTAAGTTTTATGTAATAGTATCAGAGTAAACACAGAAAACTTGCCCAATTTATGTTTAATGCATGCGTACAAGATATAAGATAATTTTTGAATAATTTTATATTTAAAAGTAGATCGCCTTTTACGTTCACCGTTCGAAGATGTAAAGTTCTATAAATAAAAAAAAGATTATATTTTTCTACGTTTATACATATGTAGATAGTTTTGATAATTCTTATCTTTTCACTGAAGGGTGAAGAAGTATAGACCCTTCTAAGTGTATACTTGCTTGCCTTATGTTATGATAGGTGTCGTTCAGCCAAGCATTTTTATTTTTAAGAATTAAGATACATAAGCTCGTTTCATATTAACATCTATACTTTATATTCATACTACTATCTGATATATATATATATATATATATATATATATATATATATATATATATATATATATATATATATATATATATCAGGTACTTTTTATAGATATAGAAAGAGAGTATCTAAGTGTAGATTTTGATTTGTTTGTTTTGTAGGCTATTATGACGTCATTTAATGCGTCTTGTATACGGTCCCCTGTATAAAAGAACCATTAAATTTCAAATCACATTTGCACACATCCTTACCGATCACTTTATTGGTCGAATAAAAAATATAATGGAGCCTTTAATAATAACAATAAGGATAGAAATAATAATAAAAATTTATAAGTAGTCAATTAATTTCATTTTATTATATATTACCAAACAAATTTAATATATTAATAAGAAGTACATATTTCATTAAATTAATCAAGGCAGAACGAAATTTATTCAATAAAATTGGACATCATATAAAATTAATGTATTGAAATAATAATAATATATTTTTTAATTAAAACAATTCCGATAAAAAATCAAAACTACATATTTTGTTTTGAAATGTGAATGAAAAAGAGATGATATTTTGCTACGAGTCAAGTCAAGCAGCAATTAATTTAACCAAGTACTGGATTAACTCCTTAGAAAACTTGTACTACCTTCAGTTAGGCTGACGATTTAGACTTCCGAGCATACGAGAATCAAGAAGCGCAGTGAAAGTGGAGAGTATGAACAGCTAGCTACGTGAGTTTTATTCAAAAAGGAAACATTAATCGCTCAATTACGCCTTAAGATCACACGAGACTAGTACTGGGCATCAGTGATTTAGAAAGTCCTTGTCGTTATATAGTTTTCTCTTCTTGGTTATATTGAAATGTGATTTTTTCTCGTTTTTCGGTAACGTTCCGTTGTCGTACACGACTTGTAAGGTCGGTTTTTGTCTTGAGTAGCCAGACATGCGAGGACTTAATGGAGCTGAATTCATTTCTGAGCTTTCAGAATAATCACGACTCATTGAATATGGACGTTCGACCCTGTTTTCCATTTGAGAGGAGAAGCTGTTTTGGGCCAAATATTCCTTAAACTGACACTGTTTCAGCTTACCTTCCAAATCTTCTATTTTCTATAAATTGAAAATTCGTACTAAGCTTACAAATATAAATAATTTTCATATTTTCTTGGGCAGAATAAATTATAAAAATCGTTGTAATGAAAAACCGCTCATAAGAAATTATATTTAATCTATGACCGTATTACCGCTCCGGTCGTTGCCCCCGACGCTTGCCAATAGATGCATAATACATTTTAAATTAAACGTTTGCATTTACAAGTTAATTACAAAAATTTGGTTCTTTCAGTCTGATTACACTAAGTAATCACGATTTTGTAAATAATTTGCATATAATTAAAATGCATGCATGCAGCGTTTTTCTAGTAATAAATAGTTATTAACACTTTTACGTACATATTACTAAAACGTTTATTAGTTCTTAGTATGAGCAAATATTCTTTCGTGCAATCACAAGTGATATGAAGAATATTTTATGCAAATATAAATAGCTGATTTATTAAGCAGTTGTTTTTATATATTCTATTAGCTATCATTATTAAAGAAATAATTAAAAATATATTCTTGAATAAAATAAGACAAATTACAATTACACATATGTCAAAAACTTAGGTACTTGCTTGTATGGACGAGTACGTCATTTAATCTCCAACTGTATTTAAATATATTTTCTTCTTCTTATTATTATTAACCTAAACAATAGGTACCCATAATTTATATAAAAAAATAATAATGTGTAAGTTTTTTGAATGACATAATGTTAAAGCATCGTGTATTGTGTATGTAGTTTTGAGATGATAAAATAACTTGTAGCTATCCGAATATATAAGTTTTATTTATAAGAATTTTATGTTTTTCAAGTATTTGTTAGTATATATACCTATATAATATTTGACACATCCTAAATGATTAATTGTATTTTTAAGAAATGGGTATTAAGTGTGGTCATCGTAAAGGTAAAACAACTAGTGTCAGTACTGATTAGCCATAACGTGCATCATAATTTAAAATACAATAAAAAATAATCGCATGTCGCCAAGAAATTTGTAAAATATAATAGAATTAAGATACCAAAAAATATCGAGTGTGTTATCTAAATAAATGATTTTTAACGGTTAGCATATAAAGCTAATTGTTTTAATAAACTTTGAAATAGAAAATGATAATAAATCATATCACACTTCATGCTAATCTTTTCATTTCTGCTATAATTTAACAAACTACAGATATTGACCATTCCGACCGTAAAAATTTTTCTATACACAGAAAATGTTTAATTTTATAACAATAGATATACCTGTCTAAAATCATTCTTTTTAAACTATGGCTTCATTCCCCATGGCATCGTGGAATATTTTGCCAATTTCTACATTTTTATTTGTTGGACAAATTATAAATTAAAATCATTAAAATCATACATCTGTCAGTGTAACCGTCAATATTGACAATGAAGTATGACTTATGACAGGAAAGAATATATTATCACAGAAGCGAAATTTGAAATAGATACCGAGTTAATAAGTAATGATTGTCATACCCTTCTGTAGGCGTCAATGTTAGCGTCATTAATGGATGTTTGCATCGCGAGTTTGTCCTGAAGTTGTGATATTTCTGAAGCACTCCTTTGTATTTTCTCTTCGTATTCCAATACGACGACGTTCATCTTAATAAATATTTTACATATTTTATTTGTTCTTAGAAAGTGTAAATAAGTATATGAATAAAATAATAGATTATAATAAAAGTGAGAGTCACCTTATTCGTATTTTCTGTTTCCATTTCTTTGATCTTACTTCGTAGTTCCTCGATTACACATGTGCATTCAGCGATTTTAGTTTCTAAATCATATTGAACCTGTTGGACTGTTTTATTTAATGTAGAATATGTGGTTAATTATTTTAGAATAAGCAAATGATATTAATAGTTTTAAAAATATATTTTTAATATTACTTTTTATTTCATTAACTTTTACAAGATCTTCAATTTGTCTTTCATGTAATTTACGAATTTCTTGAATATTTTCGTTATGCTTTTGTTGTAAATTTTCTTTATCCTGAAATATATCTACATTGTATTGTTTTTCGGATTTTATCGAGAAAAAAACAGTGACTCACCTTGTTTATATTTGCTATGGTAATATCTTTGGAATTTATTTCATACTTTAATTTTTGAACATCTCGTTTTAAATAAACTAGTTGTGAAACTGTTTCCTGCAAACTTCCTATCATATCCCTCGAGGATTGAAGATGAGAGCGATTTGATTTTTCAAGTTCACGGGCTTCTTTTAATTCTAATTCCATTTTTGTATACATTTCTCGTAGCTTTTTTGTTTCATATTTTTCTTTTACATAATCCTTTTCAAATCAAAAGTAACAGTAAAACATTTCAATTCAGTTAAGTTCTACTCATAACTAAAGGTTATAACTGGGGGAAAAAATCTTACAATTCTACATTTCGTCAAAGTTGTTAACATATTTTGTAATCTTTCACTACTAATATTACTTTTAACTGTCGGTGGCAATTCCATTCTTGAAGGATAGAACTAAAAAAAATATCTCTCTGCCAACAACCATTTAATCCTTGTGACATAAAGGTTAGGATTGGCGCCATAATTCTTTTTTTAATTTTTACCACAGCCGAATATGAGTCTACATATTTAAAATTATTATATTCAGCCAATATCAGGGTACTTATTACTTCTGAGAGGAAAACTTAAGAAAATAAAAGGAGTTTTTTTCATATTACTTAATGTTTGATATTGATATGATAGAAACAAAAGGTAGAAAAGTAAAACGGCGTTACGGCTATAGTTCGGTCTGGAAATCTTTTAAAAACTAAACCTTAGAAAAACTTCTTTAAATAGCATTATTATTTTCTATTATTCTAACAAAAATTATTTAAATCCATATTAATACTAATATTCGGGTCTTCTAAAAAAAGTCAAATATTTTATTTTTTATAATAAATGCTGAGTTAGATTTTAAAGCTAAGGAAACATATAATAAATAATGCAATAAAAGACAAAAATAGTTCAAAGTATTCTTTATTTATATTATTCCACTTGCATTAATATATTTGATGACTGTAAGGTAGCTTTTAACTTAAAAGGTTTTGTTAGATTTTCAATATTAAAGGTTTCTGTGGCAAAATGTTCACCATTTGGATCCTCGTGTAATGTGAAACTTATATCCTTTACGCCATTTACTGATTCAATATTGCATATATTTTGGGCATATGGCGGTGAACCTTCTTTGAACAGTTTAACAGTTTGATCTAAGTACTTCATGTATATGTCTTTTCCGAGGAATTCAATCTCCATATTTGTATCTGCTAAGGACAGGTCTGGTAGGTCCAGCATCATCCCAGCTTGTCTAGCACATCCCACAGCTATTACTTCATCAGGATTAATGCCGGAAAGAACTTCCGCTTCTGGCAATAAACTTGCCACAGCCGATTGCAATTTAGGGATCTTCATACTACCACCACAGAGGATAATTTTATGGATTTTACCATTGAAACTATCAATTACTTGCTTAGCCGGTTCTATATATGCTGATATTTTAGAAGATATTATATTTTCAAATCTAGCCCTCGTCACATTTTGACTCCAATCAACTCCGTCCAATAAAGACTCAATAAAGACATGGGCTGAACTTAAAGTTGACAGAATGTGTTTACAGTTGTCTGCATGGTTAAGTAATTTTGACATAGCTCGTCTACTTTCATGTGGATCCAATTTCCACTTCTGTTTGAATTCTTGTGCAATATAATCTGCCAAGTCCTTTGTTAGACATTGTCCTCCAAGGTCGGATCTGAAAATGTTTTTTTCCACAGACATAAATCCTGAAGATACTTTAACTACAGAGGCTGCACATGAAGAACCTCCGAGTCTGTACACCAAAACATTCACATCATCTGCGGACTCTTCAACATTGTATGCAAGCAGAGCAGCGGCAGGTTCACTGATAACTTGTAGAACATCAAATCCAGCTAACTCAGCACATTTTACGAGCCTCTCTCTACTTAATGATGACCAATTCAATGGTGCTGCCAACACTAGCTTTAAGTCACCCTCATTCTGAACAGCATGACTGGCAATAGTATACAATTTTGCATAAATCTTTGTAGCAATATTATCAGGATTTGAGTACAGCTTTGTTTCACTTGTTTCAAATTCATATACTAGCTCTTCATCATTTTGAATTCTGCATGAAGAGGAACTCTCCACGAATGCGATATCATCTTCACTAAAATCGCAATTCATGAGGCGCTTATTATTTTTTATAATGGCTTTTGATGAAGCTTGTCCCGATTTAGCTGGAAGGCCAATCTCCCATTCCACACCATTGAGAGCAACTACCGCTGGAGTGACTCTGTCTCCAGCATCATTAGCCAAAACAGAAGCATCGCCATTAACAAAGGTTGCAAGACAGCCTGAACTGTTTCCTATATGTATTCCATACGCTGTCGCCATTCTTTAATAAATTATGTTCAATAATAAATATATCTCTTATTTAGACGTAACTTCAGTAGTGACACAATAGTTAGGAGACAATTGGTATTATTACGTATATTTAACGTTTACTTAAATTATTCGAATAGTTTAAACTCGTTGGTAATCGGTATATTATTATAACCTAAAAGAAATCACATAGTTTTTGACATTAGGATTAGGTCACTTGGCAAATGACATTGAATAGATCACAGAGCCTTACAGGTCTTTTTGTTTTAAGTATTAAGAGCTTGATTAAGTACAGAATTATTATCATTAATATCCAGTATTAAGGAATCACCATAAAATAAATTTGTCTAATTTTAATCAAATTCGTTCACTGTCCAGCAAGGTCCGTAAAATACATGCCTTATTACTTAAATTTAAAAAAGTAAGTGACAATTTGACGACAGACGTTTAAAAGTTTGACAGAAAAATATTTACATTTTATCCACCTTATTCAAAGCTTTTTAAAACAAAATTCTAGTATAAGAAATGAAACACTATAGTATAAATTACTTTGCAAGTATAATATATATAATTGTTATCACTTTATTCGTAGTTATTAATTATAGTTCGAAAGCTGTGGCTTCAGTAACGAATTCTTCTGATATTCGCAATTATTTAGGAACTCGCACGCCTTATAGATTTAAATCAAATAAAGATGATTCTAAAATAAAATATCCTAGTAAGTATAAATAGAAAAATGTTTTTTCACATATGTACCTGATATATACTCGTTGAATAAATATATTAATTTACCCTCTTTTAACGATTTACTTAAGATCTTAGGCTTAAATTATTTATGATTTTTTACATAAGAGTAGTACTTTTCTATTTATAGATTGTAAACACTCGAAGATATGGATGCTTTTGAGGCATGGAACCCGTTTGCCTAGTGCCAAGGACATAGTGGGCATGAACACGATTTTGAAAGACTTAAAATATAAAATTCTATTGCACAACAACCATGGGAAAGGTAAAAATATTTAATTAGAGGTAACACTAATATTTATCGGAATATTGCCCTTAACTCAGCGGGAGGCGCTACCGGGTAAAATTTACCACATAGTGTATACTTTGGAAAATATTTATTTTTTGTAAGTAATTTTGTGCAGCGCCGTTTGAGATACCTTTCGACAGATGTTCGACGGTTCGAGTAATAAAGAAAATCGTGACGAAAGAGTGTTACCTCGAAAGAGATTACTTGAAGGTGTTGGCTGTGTCTCTTGTATAATGTATTGCCACAAATTAAGTGTAAATCTACCATCTTAAACCTGCCTACTACATTTATGAAAAGTAAAATAATACTTTTACTTGGTGATAATGGCGAGCAAAATAATAATATTCCGAATAAACAACAGGAAAGAGCCTTCCAGCCACACTCACAAATATTTTGTTTTGTGCACAAAATGGCTGAGCTTTTGGTCTATGTTTTAAAATTTAAAATATTACATATTATACCAAGCATTTATTAGTTTCCAACTGTCTTGTTTAATTGAACATGTAACGCAATATAATATAAAAATTGGTAATATTTAATTACCCATAAAATAACTCTAGTTCTTACATTAATATTATTGTGGTCTTTTTTACCCAGTAGCTACAGTCAGTGTTGGTATTAGGGGTGCGCTTCCCGCCTAGTTAAATATGTACACCTTACACAAAATAAGAATAAATAAAAAAGGGTTTCTCTTATGTTAGGACCATTAAACGAAGAACAGTTACATTGGTTTTCAAGATGGTCCAGTAATATATCGGCTGAGCAAGAAAAGTTTCTTACCTACGAGGGTCAAGATGAGATGATACTCTTGGCTGAAAGGATGCGGAAGAGATTCCCGAATGCTATAAAAGAGAAATATGACAACAAATCATTCCTGGTATAAACAATTAAATATCTAATTTTAATATAATTTCAATTCTAAAATATAAATGTAAAAATGTTTAATGTCCTAACATTATTCCTTTCCACTTCTTAAAAACTTCTATTATATTGCTATAATTAAGTTGCTATACTTATAATTTCCAGTTTAAATACACAGCAACACAGAGAGCACAGCAGAGTGCATTATATTTTACTATTGGGCTGTTTGATAAGAAGAAATCAAGAGATGTTATATTTGAACCTGCTATGAAAGTTGACACAACATTGAGAGTAAGTAACTGATGCACTAAGTAAGTATATATTAATTTCAGTTTGTTCATGTATGCCTTTTCTGGAAAATTGCCAGGAAGAAGAAGATATATGTATGTTTAACAAAACTTTAGTATCATTAAAGTACTCAAAAAATATTTGTTTTCATAGGTCTTGCTAAATTTGGTAATTTACTTAAGAGTATTATAATAATCTTATATGAATTGTATTAATGGTAAAAATTTACTGGGTTTCAGTTTTACAAACATTGTGATAAATGGCAGAAGCAAGTGAAGAAAAATCCTGAGACATATAAGGAACAAAGAGCATTTGCTGTCAGCCAGGCCATGAGTGACACTTTCAGTGCTGTGGCAAAGAATCTTGGATTGAAAGGAGTTTTGTCAAAAGGTGTCTTAAACTAAATTATTTCTCTTTTAAAATACTTCACAAGTAATTATTTAAATTATTAACATTTATATAAAGTTTCAATTTATATAATTGATTATGCATATGTATGACTAAATGAGGAAAACAAATTTCAGTTTTAAGACGATCCCAAACCATACTGTGGTTTTTAAGCCTGGCTTATAACATTTATTAACACTTATTTAATATTTTTTCACAGAAATGGTTATATTGATGTACAAGATATGTGGCTATGAGACGTCGTGGCATAAATATTATACATCGCCATGGTGTTATGGGTTTGATCTGAAAAGTATTAAAGTGAGTTTATATGAATACATTAAGATATCACTTTACTAATTCGTTGATTAATAAAAAAATCGATAGTTTTCCAAATTTAATTTGGTAGAGAGAGGGGCTTGAACAGTAGAGGTGAGCGCTTAACGCGCGTTAGATAGGTGTCCCTTAAACCTACACCTGGGTCGCAAGTCCCAGTCACTGTTGAAGCTCCTCTCACTACAACGCGATGGACCCGTCACCCGAACGGTGAATCCATGGAATGCTGAAAAGTTTCGTCTCATGTACTAATTAATTGTATTGATAAATGTATTTTATATATCATTTGGTTTTCAGACCTTGGAATATTATCATGATTTGAAACATTATTGGTTAGATGGATACGGCCACGATTTAACATCTGACCAAGCCTGTATGATACTCAAAAATATGTTTGAGATGATGGGGTAATGTATATTGAATTATGGAAATATTTAAAAACAGTTTCTTAGTATAAATTATATTAAATTCGTAATAGGTATTATGCTAGTAGCAAGACTGAATGACCAAACCTAAAATAATATACTTGACATGATATTAATCAACAATACCAACCAAGTATAACTAATACACAATAAAATAGTAAAAATTCATTATCATGGTGTTTTAAATTTAGTTTATTATTATAAGAATATTAATCAAACTAGAATTCTCCTTACAGTATTGCAGATGAGTGTATAAATTGTATGAATGTTACTATAGTACCAAAATGTACGTTAGTATTTAAGTATATACAATATTAAAAAATAATTTTTTTTCAGGAAAGAAAACAAAACAGCGACATTCCTGTTTTCACATTCGGGAACATTGTTGAAGTTGTTGACTCATTTAGGTTTATACAAACCAAAAACACATCTGAGAGGCGATAGTGTTATAGAGGATAGACCGTGGAGAGCTTCGAATATTGACTGCTTCGCGTCAAATATAGCCTTCGTTTTATACAAGTAAGCATCTATCGACGTCCCAACGAAACAATGTAAAAAATGTAAACAAAAATTGATAAAGGAATAGTTATATTACATTACATAATAATAATGTTACGAGCTTGGATTTAATTATCAATATAAACATGGTATTTAACAGAATGTAACGCATATAATAACTTTGCATCGCTATTTTGTCGCTTCTCGAAAGTCTGATTCAAAAAGGAATTAACGGCTGTTTTATACACGACGATCAGATTACTAGAATATTCCAAAACATTCTCTTTTATATTTCTACTTGGTTATAATAAATATATGCGCAAGGAATGTTCTAGTAAACTTAAACTAATAGTGTCGTACACTCGTCACAAGATGGCGCTGCCGCCCGTTGTTGAGAACATTCTACAATATTTAAGCCGGAGCTACAATAACATAAAAAAAAAAGAATAAAATTGATAAATGTAACAACAAACTCATTTTAAAAGACATGTTATTAGTATGACACTAATAAAACGTTTACAAATTTAAATTACCGCAGATGAAGTAAAAACATATACAGACTGAATTAAATTATATTAATTAAAAATATTTTCTATTAACAAGTATTCGTGAGTATTTACAACATTACTGTTTTCATATAAAAATGTTCGAAAAATATATACGTATATCCAATATTCATTTTTTTATATTTTTTCGCGACTTTTAATTTAAATGAAACTAATATTTTTTGGATTGTACTACGCGTATTTTATTATTGTAAAAAACTACATATAATGCGTATACGTTGTTATATGTTTTGGTTACTTTTCGTCTGCCCGTGATCACGGTTACTGAGATTCACTTCGATAAGATCTCATTCACTTCGTAACAATAAACTACGATCAGATATGGACCTTTTTATACATATAAAGAACTATAATTGTAGCTATAATATAATTAACAAACATTTAGTCCTAAAAAGAATTTCCTTCTTTTTGAAGTAAGTCAAGATGTAGCCTAGCTTATTTCTTATTTCCTAAGTGACTGAGTTTCCTTAAAATCGGACCATTCGTTCCCGAGATAATAACTACACAGAAACAGACGGATAGACATAAAAAAAAATGCGTCATAATTTCTTACTGAAAAGCTATTAATGTGAAATTACATTAGACACTTAAGTTTTATTAATTTTCTTAGAGATAAAAATTATTTTTATATGCAACTATATACAGGGTGACTGGTGAATTACTATCAATATTTAAGGAGCATACTCGGTACATGATTCTCATTCGAATTATGTAAAAATAATAGGTACTTAATTTTTGACCAAATTTCCGTATAAATAAATAAAGTGTGTACACGTTCCAAGTGTTCCAAGTGTGGACGCGCGCGGCGGCGTGCTGATACAACAACACGCCGCCGCGCGCGAGTGTGTGTGTGTGTATACCTAATCTGTAGGGTGTTCATACGATGTGTAATTAATTACATAACTTTTGGTTAACTTTACTTAGAAGTTTATTAATATCTATGTTATATTAATTTTTATTTTGTCATATATGATCGTCAAATATCACGTCCTCAAATATCGATAGTAATTCACCAGTCACCCTGTATATTATTGTTATTATAAATATTATTGTTAAAAAACCATATACTCCCGACGTTTCGGTTACTTAGCACCAATCGTGTTTACGATCACGCGAGATGTATGTAGTTTATAAAATAATAAAATACACGTAGTAATCCGAAAATATTAGTCTAGTTTAAAATAATACTCACGAGTCTTAGATTTCATTGTTATTTTTGTGTATTACAGATGTGATGACGGAGATAAAATATTAACGCTGCATCAAGAAAGAGTTATCAAGTTGCCAATGTGTGAAACAGAACTTTGTCCGTGGGAACATTTGAAGGCTTATTTTCGTAACACCATACATAATTGTAATTTCGCTGATATGTGTAAAGCTGTTTAATATTATGCTTGTTGCTATATAAATATAAACACACACACACACACATATAATACTTTGCTTGGATAAGCTATATGTATTACTTATGTGATTAATTTAATGAATATTGTTAAAATGTCTATATTTTTTTTACTGATTGTTGTTATTGTAGAATGTTATTGGTAATATGATATAAGGATTTGATGAAACAAATTAATAACTGAGCTTTAATTTATTTTTATAGCGCAAAATAAATATTTTAAATAAATTATCATTTATTGTTTTATTGCACCACGACAAAATATTTAAACATTAAAATTAGATTCTGCAAAAATTGATTTTTAAGTGTAATAATCATGACTCATTTACTCTGTTGTACATTTTAATCTCATTCATTTCTTAAGAGTACGTTTATGTTATATGAATGATACTTTGATATTAAGTACACACTTCAATAGTAAGTAGTAACTCAAATGACGTTTTAGATGCCTGACGATGTCCGATAAAGACTGATTTGGATAAATAGTGCGGTGACAATCCTTTTTTCAATTAAGGTACATTACCAGCGTCGCTATCTCGGTAGAGAGATTTTATGTAGAATCTACCTTCCAGCCTAATAATTTAACATAGACAGTGCTCATGACAAAACAGCCCCTCATCTATTCTACCTAACTTTTTGTTTTGAGTATATATTTATTTGAACACCTGTAGGTGGCACAACGCTCTTTTTTGTATATCGGTTGCATCTGTATTTTGGTGTTGTTACTTTGTCAGTAACTATTGATGGAGGTCTGTAAATATCTTCTTGTGCATAAAAGTGGAGTGAACTTTCCATGATGACGTCAACAGCGAGAAGTCTTCTGTAATTTATAAATTGGGTTGGATGCGGGCAGTGGCGTGCACACCATAGATGCAAATAAGCACTGCATACCCTACGCATATAACAACTAAACCGATATTGTTTAATTCTTACTTACATACTTTTAACCGAACATTACGATAGACAAATATTAACATTTAAAATGACATTTCATTCATGATTTATTATAAGTGCCATCTATCAATGTAAAAACGAAGCATTTTCGATCGGCATCTGCTAACTACTAGCGCCGCTATGCAGCCAGAGCGGCGGTATGCACAACCACTCAGTGCTTATTTTCCACTACTAACCACTCGTCTGCCCGTTAAAAATAATAAAAATATTAGCTTCATTCAAAATTTAAATCAATACTTGCGAAAGATATCGTTATTGTCAATTTTTTAGAGAAGAAATTATGAAAATTGGTATTTTATTTTTCAAACATATTCTGCTTACCATATCCCAAATCTCTGTGAACGCCACTGGATGCGGGAACACGCAAGAATAGCTTAAACATCAGAAAAACCTTTGTGAGAGATATAAATTAATAATAATAATCAATCATATATTATATTATATAGGTATGTAGTAAATTAAAAACTTAAAAAAAAAATGAATAATTCGAATTCCCCGTTTAGTTTCCATACATATTTGATATTAAAGTCTTGCAAGGGTTGTCAAATATTTTTAATTTTGTTTATATACCTAGATATATTTTACAATAAATTGTGTTCATCCACAATGTGAATACTTTGTGTAACCTATAAAGCGACACAAGATATAAATTTAACTACTTTATGCTTTCGGACGTAAACAGTGAAAAATGTTATAGTTAATAACAAAGTATCGTACAGAGTTATGGACGGTCGTTAAGGCGGAAACCTAACCTACCCGCTTGACGACCTTAAACTTATCTATAAAGCAAAACTAACAAACAGCACACATTGTAATTTCTATAAACACGAATTCTACTCCACAGCTTTCTAAGAAAATTAACGTAAATAAATTATTGACACTAACATATGAAGATTCAATTTCAAAGCGTAAGATTATATATACAAGATATTATCTAATATCATAATTATAATAAGAAATAAATATGGATAATAAGTAGATAAAAAAGTGTAATTTTTTGTACTGACACTGTTTTTTAGACGTGATAGTCAAATGTATTTTGCTAATTAGAATTTCGTTTATAGCGAGCTAAATAAAAAAGTCCTAGTTTCAAAATTACCCATAAACTTTATACTGAGATCTTGTTTTAAAAGTAGCGCACATTTTAAATTTGAAATGCATCATGACTGTGAGATCAAAAGTTTTTAATGAGGACTGACACAGCTCATTCATAGCCATTGATAAAACTTAAGTTGGAAACGTTTTAAATATAGGTATCTTGTATGATTAGGCATCTTTACCCTACAGACGTCGAATGATATAGTTCTTTCATTCAAAAATCTTCGAGAATAATCGTTTCACTCGGATGCATACTTTTTAAATATTCTTAAAGAAAATGTAGCAAACTTAAACTGGCTGAGTCTAAAATTGAATTTAAGATTTTGATATCGCACCAAAGATATATTATACTTGGAAAGCATTTATTAAAAATAAATAATAATTTAGAAGGTATGTACCTATATTTTTACTAATACTTAGTATCTCAAATTCTGAAGAGTCAGAAAGGTTTTTTGAATATAAATTTTGTTGTGATCTCATTATTTAAATACGGACATTTAGAGTAACTTTGATTATCCTAAGTTTTGCATAATCAGACTACATACAAAGAAAGAACCGATTATAATTCTTAAATCTTCTCACATTATACTCGTAGTTATTTAATTAGAAACCTAAAAAACTTCGTATTTGTAGTATGTGGACGTCAATTTGTGCTAAATATTAATTTGTGCTAAGTATGGATAATTTCACTCGATTTAATCCGTAGGATAGTAAAATGAGTTTTAATATTCGCCAAACTATTTAATAGGTTTCAGTATTTTGGTTAATAATAATAAATTTCGCTATATTTCCTCTTTCCTGAATGAGAACAGCCAAAACCAGCATTTCTATATTGGAAAGTCGATTTATACTTTTTGATATTTTGAGTGAGAATGAGATAGAATAAAAGAGTATAAATTGTTAAAATTCAACTTATAAATATAGTGGACATTTATGGTTATTTGCATTGTCTTTTTAGTTACTTTAAAATGTTAATTATAATCCTTTTTTTTTATCCTTCATTTTTTTTGAAAGAACAATTTAAAGGGAAATAATAAGTTCAACAGGACTGCTTTTATCAGCCACATTCTGGATTATTGTAAGTATTTATGAGTTAATAGCTGATTTTTATATAACTATTTTGAATCCCATTTAGTAGCGATTATAAGCAAAACCAAAGCAAATTCTAATTAGACCAGTTTCTTTCAGCTTCAAAATATAAATGGAATTGATTTTTATTTTAGGAAACATGTGAATAATTAGGACTTTGTGCTATATTTTCACAACAGTACTGGAATAAATAAACAAAAGTTAACATTTCAAGAAGAGTTCAACTAGTTCAATAAACGTAAACTTTGACCGGTCATCTGTTACAAATAACAATCAGGAAACCACAAAGGGTGGTGGTTTTTGGGCATCATATGTTAGTTTGTAATTTCAGCTATAAATTTCGTAAACTTTAGTCGGTGGTCGACGGCTAACCGTTTTAAACTAACACCGCAAAAGGAGAGGTGTTATAAGTTTGACGTCAATGTGTGTATACGAGTCTCGGCAACGTAGCTCTCAATCGGGTTAACGAATTTCGCCTTGTAACATTTGAAAACCATTTTTTCTGCTGTGCTTGTAAGTAATGTTTCATTAACATTGAACTAATGGTGTAAGAAGATCAGCTTTTATCCAAAATCATATACGTAATATTTTGTCAACGATAACTCTATAAGTTCTTTAAGCGTGCCAGTATAAACGTTAAAGGGCAATGAATTCTCAGGAAGTTTTATTAAATTTTAAATATCACAAGTAAACAAAAAAATTCTCTTCGAACTTAGTAAGTTACTTTTCATAACAGTTTTAAGTAATACAAAATATTCTAAGAGTATTTAATTTGTCGTAACAAACCCACACACTGTAAAGTTCTGTATAAGTATCTTATTATCTATGAATATGTATTGTTTGTTATAATTAATTCGGTAAATTTGCTAAGTACGCCAATAAATTTCAAACTTATTTGCCATTCAAAGAGGGTTTTCAAAAGAGATGAAGAAGGGTTCACATCTAAAAAGATAAGAAATTGTTAATTACAAAAGATTTATTTCCTCATTTGATAAATTACGCTGAAGTAATGTTCACGAAAAAGATATTTAATCCTTTTGATTTTAGCCCTTATATACATATACTCAAGAGATATATTCAGTTCATTATGAATAATGTTAAAATATTTTTATAAAAAAAATATTTCTACCCTAGTTTTCACACTTTGAATCGTTTTGCATTACCTATTTAAAATAATGAAATAAATTTGAAACGACAATTGTAAATACGTATCATCTGAAATTTTTAACAAGAAGGTCACAAATGATAATCTGTTCTGCAATAATAACATAATCTGTTAATCGGGTCATGAACGATTTAAAATGGTTTTGTAAATTCCCTTCACAAAAGCTCTTTGGAACATTCCACGGCTGACACAGTTTATGGATCATTAAAATAATACAGTGTTTAGAATTTAACGTTCACGTTTAAAGTACAAAGAAATAATATTTTGTAAGTATTAACTTAATAGTATTATGTTTGAAACTATATAACTAAAACTATTATCGTCTTTCAACCCATATATCCAGTTATTTATTTTGTTTTGGTTCATTAACCATCACAGGTCATTTGTTCCTCTTAGTATCGGTTCGACTCAAGTTCACAGGTGAATAAACGAATTTTAAAAGTGTTGACATTTTTAGTGAAATATTAAACTAATAATAATGATCCGCTTAAAGTAAATTAAAGTTATTTATGTTATACGTAATAGGGTATAATTCATACAGAAGGGATTACTTTCATAAAAGCTGGTGGTAAATTATTTAGAGACGAAATACCAAATCGTGTGGGCTTAACACCTATCCGTGGTTGTATTTTTACAACGGTTTTAATTCTTATGTAATTATTATTAATGGAGACATATATTTCATGATAATTTTATTTATATCGTTACATAAATACACCTTCATTATTAATTCAATAAGTAGTTTAAAACAGTGTTCTTTTGGACTGAAATATAAGTTTTAAACAAGCTACATCTATTATGAGAATCTACTTTGACGATAGCGTCTTGTTTTAATTAAATTGCGTTGTACGAGATTCCGAAGTTTTGAAGTAGCGTTTTATAATGTGAGAAGATAAATTAATCCTTGATGTAAACAGCGATGTTTCGGTATAACGTCATCGAAAATCCTGTATTACAATATAAGAGTTTTAAACTCTCGTCCGTACTGTAAATATTGGTACGTGGGCACTAACCTGGTAGTAGTAAATATAAACACCCACGTTGATGACTAAGACATACAGAAAATACCAGATCAATTGATTAACTTTTTTACTTTTTTTGTCTTCCTCGTTCTTTTTGCTTGTGTATTTCTTTTTTTGGATATATAGAGACCAAATCTCTCAGCATTTCATGGAATCATAGTGCGGGTGCCGGGCCCATTACGTTGAAGGGAGACGAGCTTCAACAGTGCCTGGGCTTTGCGATCCAGATGTAGCTTTAAAGGGCCCCTATCTTTAAAATTTTTAAATTATTCCTTTTTTAAAGTTTCTCTTCATTTATTATACACGTTAATTCACGTGAGTTTCTTAACAATTTAGTAAATGAAAATCTGTGGAATAATAATACAAATCTGTTATTTCTACTTTCATTTAAATATTTAAGTTATAATTGTAATTTTAATTTTTTGAGTTAAAAGGAACATTCCATAATAATACTAAGTACATAATATAATATAATGATCTTTTTAATAATAACGAAATTTCAACAAACAAACCTTTTAGGCACATATCCTTTTGACCTTCTAAGTATAAAATACAGTAAGCAAAAGGATTTTTGGAGTGCAGGATATTATGTTAGTGTATGGTCAGTAAAATAATAAATAAGAAAGCTAATATAATAATATGTGTAGGGATAGAAATGGAACAGAACTAGGGGTTAGTTCTCGTTCACTCATTGAATGAATATTAATAAAGATTACAAAAGTTTTCTTAGAAAAAAAGTGTTATTTTCGTTAAAGCAGTTTAGAGGTAACGCATTCAGTTAAGTATTTTACTTTTGAACTATAAATTTGTTATTACTTTCAGTTTGAAATTGGATAGAGTTCGTCGTAAAATTTAATAAGTCTTTTCGGCGTTAACACAAAAGAATTTTAGTTACTGTTTAGTACTCCCAGGATTCTTATATAATTTTAAGTATATATACATACATACATATAAAGTAAACGAGTACATACTCGTACATATAAAGTCAATTTAAATTTTAGCTTTAGATACGAAAAAACAATGTGACTTGATATAAGGGAGCTCTTCTACTTTACATTTTTTTACACGGAATGTGTCACCCCTTTTTATTACTTCATATTCCTAGACAGAATCGAGTTTGAAACTCTCAGTCTAGACTAATCTGAAGAAGCACTTATAGTACGAGAGTGCAATGACTTTATCTAAAGTTAGTATTTTATCATTGGCAACTCAGATGAGAGTTATGGTGTCGCATGGTTGGCAGCTGCATCGGGCAGGGTGCCATAGTTCAGTGACATAAACCAGTTAGTTTTGACCTACTTCTATTGTCATTAATCTGTGTCTGTTTTAATAGATGTCACTTGCTATAATTACGTCAGTTGTAGACGGATATCTTAGTTAATATACATAAGAGCATTTACAGTGTTTGTTTTTTTGTAACCAATAAGTTATTTTAATCATTTACAAGTCTCTGCAAAGTTTATCTCAAATACAAAGCTCACAAGCTAGGCTTCAACATATTTTAATGAAAACCAAATTAGTTGAAATTATATTTTTATACAATTACTAATAGAGATGTATAAAAACATAAAAAGATATATCTATACTAATATTATAAAGCTGAAGAGTTTGTTTGTTTGTTTGTTTGTTTGAAAGCGCTAATCTCCGAAACTACTGGTTCGAATTGAACAATTCTTTTTGTGTTGGATAGTCCAATTATCGAGGAAGGCTGTGGGCTATATAACATCACGGTACGACCAATAGGAGCAAAGATATAGTGATAAATGTGTAAAAAACGGGAGAAATTATTTCATCTTTGAAGCCTTCCGTTGCGTGCGCCGTGAAAACGGTTCAAGATACACAAAAAATATGTATAAAAGAATAATAGCTCTTTTAATGATCTAAAAAACAGTCCGCGACAGTATATGTCTATCTTTTAAGATTAACTCACAAAAACCGTTTTTATGGTACCTCATTTGGTCGAAGTAATTTTATAAAATCTTTATTCAAACAAACAAATAAATATGTTGTCGGCTAAGAGTACTTCATTGTGAATAAAAAAAACATAGGTTTAATCCTGAAAACTCTACGGGAACTCGACCATTCCGAAAACCCCGCAAGAACGGGAACTATGTGGGAAGAACCAAAAATCTGCCGGAAGTCACTACTCCACGCGGACGGAGTCGCGGCAAAAGCTAGTTTTATATAAGCTTTCTATAATAAATATTATATCATTTTATCCCATCTTAAGATTAAACGGCGATCTGTGTAAGGAATGATAGGTCTCAATAAGTCCAGCTTAATATTTGTTCAGTGTGAGATTAAAATGTTCATATCGGTGTGAACAGTTCCATAGAATAAAGGAAAATTCTTAAATTTATAGTCGCACTTAACAAATGAGAAATTTTTACGATAAGTACTGTTTCCTTCATCGGGAATGTGAGTGTAAAATTTAACAAAAAATTAACGATATTCCTATAAAAAAGATAATAAAAATACTTTCAAAAGCTTTATTATTTGCAAACTAAACATTAAAATTTTATGTGTTTTTCATTCATATATTTTAGTAAATATAACCATCAAATTAGATATATGAATACAAGATACTAAATCAGTAGGTTGCTAAAGTTGCTTCAAGATAAAAAAGAAGACTTGCTAAGTTATATAAAATGCTAGTTTTAATTAAATCATTTCTAGATTTTTAGTGTAATTTGCCAATATATTTTCAAATGTTCAAAGGCAAAAAAAATAGACTCAAAGCGCTATAGAATTTCGTCACTTTGGTGAAATAAAACAAAGACCCTTACCAAATATTATTACTTAGGCTACTTAAGGGACTCGGAGAAAGTGTGTCAAATTTTGAAATTTAATATTAAGTGTTTATTTACGGTGACAAAGTTTAATTTGCTTTTATAATAAGTAATAGAAATTTTAAAATGTTATTATTTGAACATAAACAATTCTGTTAATATCTTATAAATCTAAAATAATTTTTAATTAAAATCTGATGAACAAGCTAAAGTACCAAGTAAAGTTATCTTTGTAATGAAGACAAAAGAGTAATGGAAAAGTTTCAGTCATTTAAATGGGGCGCATCTTGTCAATTCTCTGTGTTTAATGATGGGTGTATAATTGTACATCAAATGTTATGTCGCATATCATTATTATTTTAACAGACGAAGAGCGTTACAAGGTAACTTTTATAACGTAATTTTTATAACATAAATGCTATAAAACAAATTTAATTAAGGACGAATTTCCTTCGTTGATACAGCTGTAAAAAAAAACTTATTAAAAACGATGTTTAATTTAGTCCTAAACAATTATAAATGGATTTTATTACAAATTATTTTTTTAAAAAGGTTCATTATAACTAGAATTTGGTAAATGTAAGTCGAATAATATGGATTCCTCATAAAACGCAGATACAGGAACCATAAAAATAAACCTTCTGTTTGTTTGTGTTTTATGTATGAAAAATAACAAATATCTTAATGTATAAACCGCAGATCATCACTCGACAGACAACGGTTTGCAATTTTCGATTGTGGTTTCTCTTATCGTAAATTTTCGATGTTAGCAAAAATTGTTTATAGATTCGTTCGTTTAACACTGTTCAGTCAATAAAATTAGCTTCTGGAAAGTTTCACATTCGATATTTATGTGTTTAATGATAAATTAGAGTATTGTTAGAAGTATATGGTAGGTGTAAAAAAGTGTTCCGTGAATGATACGCTGTTCAGTCTGGATAACGCGTTTTCAGGAGAAGGAGTTTATGTTGTGAGATTATGCACAGACGCCTTTCTGCAGTTCTCATTCGACGGCCGTAAGCTACGCGCATACGCACTACCTTATACGACTTTTATAACTGTGTTTATGAGTGACAGGTGTGTTAAAAATAGTATGTAGTTAAAAATAATCACAGATCAACAATCAATGTAGCGATTTAAGTAGCGTGTGTGTAAATTACCTAAAAATCATTTTAGTTTTACAGCACGATGAAATTAAAATTAACCAACGAGGTAAGAAGCTCAGTCAACTTGCTTCATAAAGCTCCTGTATCTTCTGTAAAGGTAATTCTTTATGTATATATTTCTAGCTTTGCAAAATTTTCAACATTATTTCGAGTGACGAAATTAATATCCAGATCTAAGTAACCTTACTACAATATATAATTCTTTCAAATTGTTTCTTTCCGTCAAAGATGCAAAATTATTTCCGAAAATGTTAACAAGTTACAATGTTTTATAAGAACCTAAAGATTAGTGTGTTTTTTTCCACTTATTTCAGTATATAAATAATAATTTCTAAATCAATAACTTAACTGACCATACTCTTTTGTACAGCCAAAGTGTACTATAAATATAAATATTTTAGAGTAGATGAAGCACAGGGAAATAGTTAGTGACATATAAATTAAAACATTGTCATTGTACAAGCATTTAAACCAAAATATGAATGCATGCCAAGCACCATTAGAACAGTATTGTGATTTAACAGTCGTTTTAATTTTATAACGCTATGCTTTTATTATAACTTGTACATATGAAAGCAAACTTACACCGCGCAGTGCTTTTGAAACGATTAATTTTGTTAACGTACATTCAGAATGTATGAATACACAGTTAAAGTATGTTTTAAAACTAAACACAGTTTTGCGTGTTTTATTAAATGTCTGGTTTTAGAAAACATGTAAACCTCACATTTGTGATTAAATGAATTCTAAAGAATAGGACAATCAAACCAACAGACTGACTAAGCTGAAATATTAAAACACTTTGTTAATTTGATTAGTTTAAGTCTTTGTTACTAATTAATTTTTCATGAGAAATTTATTAGAAGCAATTGCTTTTATATAAAAAACTGTCTACACTTAAGGGTAAGCGAAAATATTAATAACAAGTCTTTAATAAAAATCATAAAGTCCTAGAAAAATAGACATACAAGGACGTCATAAGGATTTTATGAACATAAACTAGTGCTGGTAGCAAAAATGTATTAATATGAAAATCGTTGCATGAAGCTCTCATTTTGTTTCAAATATAAATCCATATACATGGGGTTTGGATTACAGTTTAGATTAATCTTAAATCCAGACATACTAATAAGTTTTTAGCCTATGTGTAGTTTTATTGGTACATTCAACAAGTGGCGATATTGATTACATTAGAATACCTTCAATTCAGTAACAGCATTGAAACCTTCAATAGGAGATAGAAGGTCATTGTCAAATCATTGTTAACTAACATCATAAATTTATTTAATTTATATCATATTAAATATATTTATTTAATTGATGATGAATTGTTCAAGTGGCGCCATTCATGCCGTGCTAATTTTTATATACTATAATTTTTAGAATTATTTTTATGTCGGATTATATTTAATTATAATACTGGACCATTGTAATTTTGTTATGGCAACATTTAAGTATTACTTTATATTTTAAAACCATAAATACTGGCTTCAGCCATTTTGTAAGACATTACTGGAAGTAATGCTGAACATTAAAAATCAAGTCTGAAGTTACCTCGAACAGAATGTTATCGTCTATTACGAGTAAAAATGTTGAGCTTGGAAAATCATTCTGGAAACCTCTTTTAGTTTGAACCGTTAAAAGAACTTGGTGCAGTCAAAGCGTAAGATTCATTAAATTATTTTATTATTCTATTTAGTTTCTTACTTTAAAATAACACCACTGTCTCTCTTTAACACGATTTAGCATAGATTATTTTATGAGAATAACTCTGATGATTCACCTCGATACAAAAGAATTAACAAATATTGCAGTGTTAAGACAGTTATTTATTGGATATTTGAAATTAACAGCAATTATGGCACAGATACTACTTAATTAATATAACTTAGATAATTTATGGATATAATTCCTATCTATAATTAGTATCAGTTATATGAAACGTAACGATATAGTAAGCTAATAAGACATTTATATCTAGATGAAGATCTATTTAGTGGTAACAGTATTAATGGATGGAATAAATTCATTAGAATTTATTCAGAACAAATCAATGGACCTGTCAAGCTGACGTTGCCAAAGTACACAAAGTTATACGAAAAGACTTGCTTTCAATATGAGCTATTCACCATTTCCATTCAGGTCTCATTCAATTAACGTTTATAGACTACTGGGAAATCTCGGGAACTCCGATAATTCATTTAAACTATTTACTAGCCTTATAACCTCTGTAAGTAGATTTGGTTGAATTTGATAAATTTGAATGAATAAATATTTCTCTAGAGACAGATTAATTTCTACCCTTTTAGTCTGTAGATTTTGACGGATTTGTTACAGATAATCATGCAAACTGATTAGATACAAGATGAGAATGTTTTCGCATTATATTTGTGGTACTAGGATCTGATTTTTTAATATATATGTATTTATATAACATTATTTCCTTGATATGTGATTCTAATATGTTTTTAGTTAAAAGGCAAACGATATTTACTAAATAGTTTTAATTGACAAAAAATATATTTAAAATGAATCTATCTTAAAATTATTCAGAAGCATACAATTTTTTTATCAATAAACTTGAATTTGTCGACCTGTACTAGTAAATAACAATGATATCCATTATATGAATTTAAAATAGAAGAAAAAAAATATCATTAAAATTATACCAATCCATAATTTGAATATCTCTTTGATGAATTCAAAATATATTTTACCATAATTGAAAAAAGAGTTGCGTGTGTTGAATAAAAATTATAAGAATAAGTTTCATGAGGAATTGTAAACTATACAATTACAAAGAAAAGCATGAACATGTTACCAATTATATGTAGTTCTGTTCGAGTACTAGGATACCTATAAATTATTTTATTAGTATCCTGGTATTCAAAGAATTCTTCTACAAGAAAGACCGTCTGAAAACAATTTGACAACTTTGGTTGGAGATAAATTTTTTAAACTTATATTTAACCTAATACCTTATATGCTTTGAATAAAAACAACATAATATGTGACAATTTCAACTGACTATGTTAAATGTATATGTCCATACGGAAAAACAAATATTGGGTACAGTTAAATGTCAAAAGCGTAGTTCATTTACTTGTGCTTTGTTATGTTTTTTCAAAACTGGAATTTGAAGTAATTTATGTAAATACACTACAAATGTAAATTCACTAGCCTTGAAAGGAATCCTTTATATTATTCGGTATAAAATACATCGCACCAAGTTTTTCTAACAAACAGAGGTTTTATCTATTAACACTTAAGTGGGCGGTGAAGTATTACTTCGTTTTCCTTTGTAAGTATGGAACTTTCCAGAAGACTGAAAGAAAATACTTATACAACAACTTTTGGGAGCTGTAATTCTAATAAATTTACATTTTTGTAATGTTATTTTTAATGACAATGTACATTTATTTGAACACAAATAAATATTACTTTTGTTACTATGAATGTAATAAAAGGATTTAAGTCTTAATGTAGATGTGTATTATTAATCTCAGTTGTATAAATATGCTAAGATTTTAACTCATAGTTGTATGGAAGCATGGTATTTGTTATCAATCTAAGACCAGTAATAGATTTTTGAAATATGTAAAGTGTAAATAAGTATAAATATATAAATAAAAGGCATAAATAAAATGGTTAAATATAAATAAAATTGTTAAATAAAAACATAAATAAAATGTATACATAAATGACTGCTCTCAACATTTAAATATTCAACTGATGATCCCAACACTTAAATATTAAACAAACAATTGACTTAAGTGCTAAACTTTATCACTTAATGAATTAAAAGTTCCACTTTAAAGTTTTTAATAAAAAATAAAATGACGAAAATGTTGGGTTTGTATTAATGCAGGGAACTTATATTAAATCTCCGCTAGCATTTGATACGGAAGCCTTTATAAGAGTAGGTGTCAAGTCAGACTGGTTTTCATGTATTTTTTTCATAAATTTCATCACACTTTTATTATTTTTCCATCTTTAACATTACAAAAAAGTTACCAGGTTAGATTTATCTTATACCCGCTTGGTTAATAGTAAATTTAAGACTTAAGCCATCACTCTTAAGCAAATAAATGGATATTTGAGTGTTTGTAAATGCATGGGAATTTTTCTATGATTATATACAACGTCTCCCTCGGATAAAACTTCTTAATTACGGTATTATATTTAAGTACAAATTATTTAAATTTTATGGTTGCTGTCAATAAGACGGGAGTTGCGTGTCAAGGAATTATATCTCGTGAAATACTTAAAGGATTAAGGTAAACAATACCAAGTTATAGAATTGGACGGTAAATAGATATCTTGCTCATGCCATAAACGTTAGCAACTACAAAGTATACAATGAAAACTGTTTAAAATGTGCTACTCACTTACTACAATTATGATTTTTTACTCACTTCTTTACGTTATTGTTGAATTATTATTTGCGGCGTATTTCTTTGAACTTGCATAAATTAATGTCCTTTTAATACTTCCTCGGTGAATACCAAAATATTTAATTCATTATTTACATTAAAATATTACAGTAAAATAAAAGGTTATAAAATTATTTTTTTATATATTTTTGTAAGTAGAGAAATATGAAATAAGTTTTCATATTATTTTTATTTATAAATATTATTTTTACAGAAATATGTTCGATATTGTAAATTTTTTTATTACTTCAATTTTGCCATTGAACAGGATAAATTTTTCTTTGGCAAAAATATACATAGAAGATATTGTTGTACCTATTGAGAAACCAGTATATACACAAAAATTTATTAATATCATGTGTATGAAGGTTATAACAATTGTTTTTCATCCCATACCTACTTTATGTAATGAAATCACAAATGTTCGCTTCTCTTTATTTCTCCACACCATTTTTACATATTCTATAATAGGGATATTGGCTAGGAAATATGAAATAACTATAAAAAAATCTTTTAAATATTATAGATTAGAAATTGAAAAGTACAATTTCTTTTAATAATTGGAACAGTATTTATGACCAGATAAAACTTTTTCAGCATGAAACCAGCGTCATCTAAAACAATATTTTGACTATGACTTCATGTTTCAGACTGCGAGTAATATCTGGGACCATGTATTTATTGTGATCAAATATTTAATTTAAATTCAGGTCATGTAAACTTCAACTATCACGAATCTGTTTTTGCTGATGTACCAACTAATGCATGTATCATATTTTAATCTACATATAGTTTAGACTCTACATATAGATTAGAATTATTTGCCAGACATATTTCTAAATTTCTTCACGTTTGTTATCCTAGTAAGACTAACTTCCTTTAACGGATTCAGTTTATTTAGAAAATTTGTCAAATATATTGCTATATTTCTAGAAATAAATTTATTTTCTGACATAAATTTGAAGTATTAAAATTATTAATCACTTAATATTAAATAAGTGTGTTAAATGTTTTTGTGATTCTTCCTAATAGTATTGCTTTAAACTCCGTTAGTCATTCTTTCAATCATAGTGATGTGTAACAAATATTTTCACTACAAAGTTTAAATAAAATCCAAAACAGTAGAGCTTTACAATTTAATTTGTTTTATTAGTTATTAATCAACATAAAACCATATTTTTTTAAAATTTTCTTACTTAGACCAATCGTCTTTTTTTCACTAGTCTTTTTTCATTTTCTATAATCTCTTACGACATTCAAGATATGATCAAATTCTCATTCAATTATGTAATAATGTTTTTTATTTAAACAACGTCGAACCAATTCATGATTTTAAGTGATAGAATTGAACCTGTATCAATATAGATGACAATAATATTGTCCTAAACATCAATTATAAACTTTTAAAATAAGCGGTCTTTGAAATTTTGAATAATTTACAAACAGAACCTTATACACGTAACATATTTTAACTATTGAAGTATACATTGTATATGAAGTATACATTGGATTAATAAAGTTTTGTTCGCTTTTTACTTTTTGATTTTTCTTCCTTTATTAGGCTTTTAGAACATAATAATATAATAAGTATAATAATTGTTTGTCATTGTTTTTCATATATAAGTTGTTAATATTATTTTAATTAATAAAATTTTATTTTTTTTTCAGGAAGAGCGTCGTCGGAATGGCAGATATGTGGCCATATTAGTTGGTATATGTCTATTTCTTCTTGCTATTTACCATGCATGGGTGAGACGGATACCTGTGGTAGCCAGTCTTGTTGTACCAGCACTTATAATGTTCGTATATGTTGGTTGGGTCCTGTTCACAGCGTCGAGAGATAAACGAAAAGTAAATATTTCATATTATAATTACTACTTCACAAATGTCTTTCTAAAATATGAGTTACATTGAAATATATAAACGATCTCTAATAAAAAAATATTCTCCATTCTCTATGGAACCGGCAGAATTACAAAAATTTAAAAGTTCAAGTCTTCAGAGATTATGTTTTGGAAGACTGGAAAATATAGTGTAGCTTTTCGAACACCAGCCAGATTAAACGTTTTGTTTTAATGCTCGCTATTCAAAGTAGTACCCGTCAAGTTGGTTTTTTTGGCCAAGATAGATTATTTGGCCATCTACCTTCCAAAACAGCGCTTTCAACATCTCTAACCTGTGTGACCCATGACTATAAATTATAATTTCACCTTTGACACAGTTCAACCCGAGATCAATTCTTGAAATATCTCTTAAGCTTATTCTCATAACTCTTGTGGAGTTTCTATCGAGACGATTAGCAGCTTGTGAGTAGGTATTGAATTGGTCGTTGATTTTATTGAAAAGTCCGTTCCTATCTAGTGGCTTAAATACTTTGTTTAACGATATCAAAGCGATAACACCTCCCTGTCTTACATCTTGATATAATTAAATTAGTCTTAATCTCTATCCTTGTATTTGGATCAAAATCGTGGCAGTAACATACAATTGCCAGTGGCAGTATCAACACTTAAATATAAATAAAGCGTTTCTGCATAGATTCGCAAAGAGCGCATGTTATCACAGGCTTTATCATTACATGCAAATACAAGATAAACCCTGTTTGTATAAAAGTTAGGATAAAATTACTACATATATATGTATAAACCTATAGTTTGAAACAGAAAATCAAGATTTTTAAAGTCCATCATAAACACTAATAAAATATTTGTTACTCTTAGTTCAAAAGCCTGTAAAATAGTGAGACCACTCAATCTAAGCTGAAACTAATTTGCAAATACGAAGCGTAAATAATAAAAACAGCTTCAAAATTAGTGTATGGTTTGGTTTGAACGTTGAAATATAAACATCTGGTTGAATCACTACCGTCTGCGTGAATACCTAACTCCGTTCACTGATTGACGATATGACAGTTGTTTACAAGAATCTACTAGGAACGAATTAAATTGAATTCGTTCAATGTCAGGACCGTACGTTAATTATATAACTATTATGATGTTTACGTGTTATATGAATGAATGATACAAATGAATAATACTGTAATCAATTATGTTTTATCTGACTGCAAGGAAGATTGTGACTTTTTATATTGGAGTAATTATGATCGCAATATCATGTGCATATTCAATTTAAAATATTTATTATTTTATACAGTCTAGCCTATCATATATTCTTTTAATTAGTTACAAGAAAGTTTAACGTTCTGAACATAAATAGAAATTACAAACGCTAATAGCGTAACAAATTTCTTATGCAAACAATTTATATCGACAAGTTTATTTATTTTCCCTTATTGTTTATACGTGAAGATCCAGAGCCAAGGTTATGGTTACACAGTCAAGTGGAATTTTTAGTTTTATCGAGAATAAAAGAAGGAGCTTACCAAAGTTTTTGAATTATAGAGGCGTTGAAACGATGTTTTAGTCCATGCAATAATTCCTATCTAGCTTTCAAATAACTTTGCGATTATTGTTTTAATGCAAGAAAATAAAATTCTTTATAAATATGAAGGAAAGTTACGATTATTTGTAAAATAAAAATGGTTGTATTCAAATAAATCGCCTGGTGTTACTTTGGTGAAGTAGATTTGCATTTCAATCAGGTATAAAAATAATAAGCAAATATGTTAGCAATGATCAGAATAATTATTATGTAAATAATATCTTACGAAGCTTCTTTTATTATCCAAAGTTGGACAAAGTCGTTATATATGATTAGTTTTTAATTATATTTCATTTTATAATAATAAAAATTTTTTGGTACTAGCATCAATGTTATACCACTATGCAAAAGATAAGATCATAAAACTTTTAAGATTTTATGTAAACACACTTTCAAAGTTATGAAAAAATTGTACAATCATATCGCTTTTTTAAATCATAAATTTAAAAAACACTTCATATACTTAAACATGTGTTTTTTTTTCTATAATGTTCATTTATGCTTTTTATATTTTATACTTGATTGATTGAGTTTTCAAACTTTTTAAGCAAATTGAACTAAATCAGCGGTAGTTTGCTTTAGCGAAAGGTTAAATATTATTCATTTATTGGAATTAATAACTGTGTGATAAAAGATTAACACAAAATTAATGGAGGTGATTCTTAGTTTGTTTTGTTATCAGTTCTAATAAAACAATGCATATTATACGATATTTAAACTTTATGATAACTTTGACTTAATCTGCTTTCTAATATACAAATAATTTTCTTATCATTTCAAATGCCGTGTTACAATTATTTAACGCCTGATACATTTAAAAATGTCACATGAAAAAAATATAAAAGTTTTACTTATTAAGAAATTAATTATTATCTTCTTCTTCTTCTACCTGGCAATTTCCCAGCAATAGCCAGGGTCTGTCTTACATGTTATGAATAGTTTTTTGGCTATTTGTTTTTACGACCGGCCCGCCTGCCTGACATCAACCCTCTTTTGGGAATCAACATTAATCAGTGATGTCTAAATACTCTTAGAAAGTACATATGATTCCGAAAAATCACATTGGTACTTGCCCGGGTCAGGATCGAACCCGCGCCCTCGGCGACGAGAGGCCGAGAGGCGGGCCCTTTAACCACTGAGCCACCACTGACTTAATTATTATATTAATTACAATAAATAGGATTTCTTCTGAACTCAAGTCCAGACTGGGAAATAGCTCCTTAAACTATTCTTTACTTAATAAAGTTATGAAAAGCTTAGTATGATAAATTTTTTTTTTAATTTTGATGCATTCTCCGATTAAGAATTGGAGTGCCGTATCTGATAACGAAAAAAGAATAATTGTATACTCTGCTTTGTGTATATTTAAAACGTATTTGTATTATACATAAATTTTGAAGGTTAACAACAATATTTCACAGCGCTCTTTACTCGATATTAAAAATTTTACTTTTCTTTCTAAATGAAAGCCTTAAGGATAAAATTTAACATGAGTCGCAAAATTGTTCCCGATTTTTTTCAAGGTATTTTCCATTAAAGAAGCAAAAATATTAATAAAAAAGTAATATAGGATGATTCATTTCTTTGATTCCGCTGTGTTGCCGGAAGGATTCCCAATCCAACAATTTTATGATCCCTTTGTGGTGATCATGTTGCAAACCAGTGGATGTGTGTGGTAAAATTTGTTACGTACCTTTACCAATACTATTTCTAGATGTTACTAGTAACATTGACTGTCTTTGTTCTTCGAATAGCTGGTGAATTTAAATGTAATAAAATCACGTAAGTTATTACCTCGTAAAATAAAGTTAAAGCGGAAGCTAGACGTTTAGCGTAGATAAAGACTTTGCTGGAAAGGTATCAATCTACCATATCGTTATTTTGAATGCTCTATACGTCTGCCAAGAACTAAACAATACTATTTTAGCATGATATTAACTAATTACATATTCAAAATTATGAGAAACTTGAATTTAAATAGCAAATTGATTTTATGCTTAATGTGCAATGTTTTAATTAAAGAAAAAAGCTCACGGCTTAAGGTTATTTCTTGAGTTTAAATGTAAATATAAAAATATTTAACATTTGCAATTAACCGTACATTTTCTCTAGAAAACGGTAAATTTTTCAAATCAATGAACATTTGGTGTAATTTCAAAGCATTGTATTCAAGATTATTTATTTTCTCAAACATATTCTTAGTATATGGTTATTTTATATTTACATCATCTCAATCTATTCATTCGTGGGACGATAAGATTCTGGATTTATTTAGTTAGTAGACATGTTAAGTATCTTTTGTTATATATCTATTGAAACATATTTCTTTTATTTCAGTTTTTAGACGCTGAAGCGGCTTTGAATGCAGCAGCAGCACAAGAAAATGCAGAAAATGAAAGTCACATAATGGAAATAAGTCCTTCTAATATAGAAATATCGGAAACATCTAACAAAACTAATGTAAAAATAGACTCGTCCAGTCGAGAAAAACCTCCAGTCTCTAGAAAGATTGATGTCAAACCTGAAGAAAAGACAGTCTGTTTTATCAAACCTATTATCTTAGTTAACGATAAATTACCTGAAGACTTTGATCAGAAGTGGACGAACCTCGTTCAGACTGTCACAACCACTGAAAGACAGAAAGGATATCCCAGAAGAAAGTTTAAGAGAAAGTTCTGTAGGAGCCGAAGACATGCCGCATTCAAGAGATCCTATTCTATTGGTTAACATTAGACATTTGTTTTTAATAGAAATTTCGATTATCTGGCTTTAATTAATAAGACGGAAACTATATTCATAACAAAAGTTTAATTAATTTTGAAGGATGAGCTAAAACGTTATAAACTTTAAGCTACTTTATAAATTTCCAGTCAACTTAGTATATAAGTCTGTGTTATTAAAATCATTGTTTTATTTATATTGTTATTTTTTACTCATGAAACAATATAAAGCTATTTATATATATTTTTATCAAGAACTTTAATAAAGACGTGTTAATAAGCTAGTCGAAATATTTAAATAATCTTTTCTTTAAATACAAACAACGTAAGCACGACCATAAACCTTTTTTTAAATTTATACTCTATATGAAAAAATATATTATTGAGTATATATCACATTGAATGCTGTAATTTGTTAGAAATATATTCCAGCATGTTTATATCAACCACTTCGCAAATTATTTCGTACTGTCTCGACATTCATTTGTATTCATGAACAATTTGTGTTTTACTACATATGTACTTTGTCAGGCTATAAAGATGTAAGAATAGTACACACAGATAGAAAGATATTCTTATTTATAATAATCATGTTCCGATCGAAACATTCTTTCATTTTACTTGTAATATTTGTTACATAAATATATTTAGTATTGTTTGTAGTTCAGACAATGTAAAAAATAATAATAATATGATATTAGATTTCCCATTAAAAAAATCCCCTGGAAATTGTTCGCTTACTCTGTTTTTCTTTCATTGATAATAATTGACCTAAAACAATAGAATTACGGTCGGCTTCTAGGAGTAATTAATCAAGTCAGAATATTCCCGAATTTAGAATCTCATTTAAATTCAAGATTTAACTTAAAGCGGTGGAATAACTTTTAAATTAAAATATCAAGGGATGAACAAAACCGAGATTAACTCATCGGAACCGATTGCTAACAATTAATTTTGTGTGTTTGATAAAATACTACTTTGGCTTACTTAATGTTATATGAATGTTTATTTAAATTACGTATCAAAACATTTTCATGAGATTCCAAGTGTTTTTGAAACTATTTTCATAATTGTATGCCATTATTTAAAGGTATTTTGATTTCACCTATGAAATTGTTACACTTATGTAATTGTTATCCATATAATAGTTTTTTTGTGTAAGTATAATAATAGGAAAAATGATTGTACATAAAAAGATCTGTGGAATTAAAATAAAATTGTTGGATTAATTTCGCCTCTGTTTACTAACAAATATGTTATCAGACTGTTAATTACTTTGAAGTAATCGTGATCAGAGGTAGGTCTAAATGAAATCTATCTGTTAGTCTTCTGTTTTCTCATCTACCTCCAAAGTTTTCTTTAATTTCATGCAAATTATTCTAGAATTAATTGAGATTCGACGTTTGTTAGTGAAATTACTGACATGTAATTTATATCATTTTGAAAAGCGTATCCAATAAAGATGTTTTACTTATATAAATATTGTGAAGGTGACATCTAGATACCGTTAAGACAACAAAGGTTTAATTCGAGCAAAGCAAAGGGTTGCCCCTCGATGTCCTCTATGTAAACAACAAAGGTTAACTGATTGCCTATCCATCAAGTTTTATGTAAAATTTATACAAGAAACATATGTTGAAGTATTTTATCTTATACGAAGGTTTATTGATTTTGTAATCTTTAAATTTATGAATTAATTATCATAGGTTTTTTTTAATTTTATAACGTTTTTGTCAATACGCTATGTTACAAACAAGTAATTAAAATATATAAATTATTTCCTACTTTTTTGAGATCAGAGTCATAAATTGGATTTTTTTATATTTACGAGTTTGTTATTGTAAAAAAATAATCCTGAAGATAATATTTTTAAACAGGAAATTTATTGATCACAACGCGCGTTTCATTACTAAAATCTTTTATAGGTCTGTTTTTGTCGAATATTGCAGTTTGGTTTTGGTTGACTTTTTATGAAAATTTTTCCTTTTTCTTGGTATGGAGGAATCGACGGTAGTAAAATCAAGAAGTATAATAAAGCCGTTAGTTGGAAATCTTTAATAAGTTAAAAAGTCACTTACAGGTACAGTAGCTTATACAACAAAATTATGAACACAATCCATTCGAGAGTGTTGAAAAATTGTGGAATTGATACTGGACTACAGTTAGTAAACTTATAATAATTTATAATCTAATATATAAAATTCTCGTGTCACAGTTTTCGTGCCCATACTCCTCCGAAACAACCTGACCGATTTTGATGAAATTTTTTGTGCTTATTTGGTAGCTATGAGAATCGGCCAACATCTATTTTTCATCCCCCTAAATGTTAGGGGTAGTCCACCCCTAAATTTTTTATTTTTATTTTTTAGACAAAATTTTTAATTACTATTTTTTTATGATACAACGTACAAAAATACATACAATCCTAAATTTTCACCCTTCTACGATCAACCCTTATTTTTTAATAGCTATTTTAGTAATTTAATCATTTTTCATCTCCGGTCGATAACTGATCAATCGTCATTTAATAAGTTATCCCCGCCAGATATCTATAGGTGTCACTTCTGACCCAGTAAACAGCACGGAGTAGGGATGAGAACGAAGCCGGTCTTCTGTTTCTCTCACACAATTAGACTTCTCTCACTCCCTACACAGTTGTCGGCCATCGTTATTGTTTGTGCATCAAGTGTAGTAGTAACGTTGACAATTATTATTTTGCTAGCTCAGTGTAACTCTCATATTAACTATTAATCATTCCTAATCACTTCAAAACACGGAGATTTATGGCTTTAATAGGTAAACTCCAAAAATATAAATAAAAAAACGTAACAGATATTTCTTGATTATAGGGCGAAACGAAGTTCGCCGGGTCTTCTAGTATATAATAAAGATTATTTGTTATCCATAGTTTTTACTAAGATACTAGATAGTTTTGGTCATATTAACGGAAGAAATCCTTACACCAGCAATTAAAAATTACCACAAAAAGTCGCGGGATGCAACCAATGTACTTGTTTAAAAGTTTCTACTCTATACAGGCTTTAAATAATTACTCATTGTAGACATTAGGAACGTTATAACTTTAATAGAAAGAAAGAATTTGTTAATATACGGATCAGAAAATCAAACAAATAAAAGTGTAATTTACAGAAAAAATATGCTATGTAACTAATGTCTTAATTAATTTTAAACATTAACTCATTTTATTAATTACTTTGATTTAAATTTTCTATTAATTGTATATACGATACCATATATACGAGTACAATTGGAATCTGAACCGTAAAATTGTAGCTATCGCAATTAAACTAATTAATGCTAAGAAATATTTTGATAAAATGTAGCAATTAGCTATTAATATTATGTAGTGTCATGTAGTAAAATATTAAACAAACTATGAATTTTTCGATAATCTATTCTTCTTCTTCTCAGTCGGTGTCACTCTTGACAGAGTGGTCGTGGTCATCCGTTTGGGTAGTGGTGGCTCGCTTGACAATTCGACGTCATTCTTCTCTAATCGATGCCTTCCTGGCGCACAAGTTTACAGGAGCTTTTGTCGAGGTCTTCACTTGATCAAGGCAAGGCAATGGCGCTCTACCACGTGGCCTTGTCCCTTCAACTTTACCCTGCACCACCACGCGCTCAGAATGTAAGAATACTCGATTGGACGATGGAAGATAAACGCTCCTTGATGCCGAGTTCTTGTAGAATGGAATGGTTAGTTCGAAATTCCGTCCAAGATATTTTCAACATTCTTCTCTAGCACCACATTTCGAGGGCGTCTATTTTCTTCTTCTCACATTCTCTTATGGTCCACGTCTCAGCACCATAAAGAAATATAGGGAATATTAGTGCCTTCACAAGTCGTATTTCTGTGGCTTTGGTGATACTTCGATTACCTCATATTTTCTTTAATTTGTCCATTGCTGATCTCGTTATAGCCATTTATCGTTTGATGTCATCAATGCACCCCCCCATTATTGGAGATCAAAGCCCCTAATTAGATATGACTGTACGACCACACAATTCGCAATTCGAGTGAGAGACGGACATAAGACATGTAATTCTGTTCGATCGGAAAATATTTTTTTATTAAATTCTAATATCTGGCAATTTACGGCCTCTAGAGCGGAATAGAGTTCACCGAGTCAGTTATACATATATTACTAATGCCTAAATAAATGCGGACGACGTCGTGAGCCAAAACTAGTATTTAAATAATTGTTAGTCATTATTATATTTGTGATATTTATTCTTGGAACCATTCTTTATCCTAGACTTAGTTATCATCAGTATAAAGATTTTCATTAATGTCTTTTTTAACTCATTAAATATGTATAAACAATCTTGTAAAATTTACTACTGATAATAATCAGTAATTATATTAAGTGACGACTGGAATTGAATAGCGAAATATTCTTTTCTTATCATAATAGTTTCATCTTATATATATTTCTTACGGCATATTTCTTGCGGTTGTTTTTGTCATTACGGAGAGTATTCATTATTATATTTAATTCATATTCAAATAACATTTTATGAAGAGTTTACTTTTATGAACACGTGATAGTAACAGTTATCAATTTTAATCAGGAATAAATGAATATCTCAAAATATGCAGGCTTTAGACTTGCTTATCATTGACTAGGATTATTGTTTGGAATAACAATATCAACATTAATATCACTAAGAAGCAGAGGCTTAGATCTAAGAATTTTAATAATTATTTATAATTTAGTAGAAACAGGATTTAAAGTTCTCAGGTATTCAATCGGGACGATGAATAAAAGGGTAAAAATTGGTAGCAATTATTTTTAAACAGTTAACACGGCATATTTTTTCTGAATTGCGTTTGGGTTCGTCTAGAATAAAGTAAAGGTCATCGGCTATTTGAAGAAGCTGTGATGTAAAAATGTGATATAAAGTTCCATACTTGTCAAAGGTAACATAAATTGTAATTTTATAACGCAATTATTTTTTTATTCTATTTCTCATTTGAAAATTGAT